AATAATCCGCCATTTTTGATAATAACTCGATTAAATCGATTGATACCTCAACGAATAAACGAGATAAACACATCGAGTTTGGACTCTTTTTAAAGGAAATTCAATTTCGAATCGATCAAAACCAATTTTATGCTAATCTCGATTATTATTATCATCATTGCTATTATTATCATTTTGAAAAAAAATCAAATTAATTTAATTTTTTCACTTTGATAATAAATTCGACGCGTTTTTGATAAAAATTATTAAAATTATTATTTTTATTACCATTTTTTGACAAATTAAAAACAAAATATTTTTTATTACTTCAAGTTTGAATCGATAGGATTTAAAATTTCCTTCAATTTGATACCAAACTCGACGCATTTCGGTTAAAAAGCGTTAAAGTTGTAATAAAAAAATAATAATCCGCCATTTTTGATAATAACTCGATTAAATCGATTGATATCTCAACGAATAAACGAAATAAACACATCGAGTTTGGACTCTTTTTAACGGAAATTCAATTTCGAATCGATTAAAACCAATTTTGTGCTAATCTCGATTATTATTATTATTATAGTTATTATTACCATTTTGAAAAAAAATCAAATTAATTTAATTTTTTCATTTTTATAACAAATTCGACGCGTTTTTGATAAAAATGATCAAAGTTATTATTTTTATTACCTTTTTATGACAAATTAAAAACAAAATATTTTTTATTGTTTCAAGTATGAATCGATAGGATTTGAAATTTCCTTCAATTTGATACCAAACTCGACGCATTTCCGTTAAAAAGCGTTAAAGTTGTAATAAAAAAACAATAATCCGCCATTTTTGATAATAACTCGATTAAATCGATTGATACCTCAACGAATAAACGAGATAAACACATCGAGTTTGGACTCTTTTTAACGGAAATTCAATTTCGAATCGATTAAAACCAATTTTGTGCTAATCTCGATTATTATTATTATTATAGTTATTATTACCATTTTGAAAAAAAATCAAATTAATTTAATTTTTTCATTTTTATAACAAATTCGACGCGTTTTTGATAAAAATGATCAAAGTTATTATTTTTATTACCTTTTTATGACAAATTAAAAACAAAATATTTTTTATTGTTTCAAGTATGAATCGATAGGATTTGAAATTTCCTTCAATTTGATACCAAACTCGACGCATTTCCGTTAAAAAGCGTTAAAGTTGTAATAAAAAAACAATAATCCGCCATTTTTGATAATAACTCGATTAAATCGATTGATACCTCAACGAATAAACGAGATAAACACATCGAGTTTGGACTCTTTTTAACGGAAATTCAATTTCGAATCGATTAAAACCAATTTTGTGCTAATCTCGATTATTATTATTATTATAGTTATTATTACCATTTTGAAAAAAAATCAAATTAATTTAATTTTTTCATTTTTATAACAAATTCGACGCGTTTTTGATAAAAATGATCAAAGTTATTATTTTTATTACCTTTTTATGACAAATTAAAAACAAAATATTTTTTATTGTTTCAAGTATGAATCGATAGGATTTGAAATTTCCTTCAATTTGATACCAAACTCGACGCATTTCGGTTAAAAAGCGTTAAAGTTGTAATAAAAAAATAATAATCCGCCATTTTTGATAATAACACGATGAAATCGATTGATATCTCATCGAATAAACGAGATAAACACATCGAGTTTGGACTCTTTTTAAAGGAAATTCAATTTCGAATCTATCAAAACCAATTTTATGCTAATCTCGATTATTATTATTATCATTGTTATTATTACCATTTCGAAAAACAATCAAATTAATTTAATTTTTTCATTTTTATAACAAATTCGATGCCTTTTTCATAAAAATTATCAAACTTAGTATTTTTATTACCATTTTTCGCAAATTCACAAGTTGTCAATGAAAAAAATCGGTGTTCCGAGCATGATGCCGAAAGCTTTTACACCAAAAGTTGTAGCAAATTTTACTCTTAACACATTGGCTTTTATTATTTTTGCTCTTTAATCGATTTCGAGAAAATTTCGAAATTAGAAGAATTTGTAGATTCACAAGTTGTCAATGGAAAAAATCGATATTCTAAGTATGATACAGAAAAACGTTTAGACCAAAAGTTGTAGCAAATTTTCCTCTTAACACATTGCCTTCTATTACTTTTGTTCTTTGATGCGTCAATGTCGAGAAAATATGAAAATTACAAGAATGCAGTTTCTAAACATTCAGGTTTAGCCGTCTTGAGAGGCATATTGCTAAACTCGAATGTTTCTAGTTTTAGGTGTAGTGTTACTTCTACTTTTCTTTCAATAAAAATATACCTACCACTACCCAACGTTAAACAACATTTAAAACTAGGACCAACACTAGACCTAGAACTAGAAACATTCGAGTTTAGCAATACATTTCTTATTTCTTCCAGTTGTATGTCTTGTGTTAGTTCTAGTAATAACACTTAGAAGTGTTTTGGCCGCAATATCTAGCTTTCTCCAAGCAATTGGTAGTCTTTCTAACAATATTTACCATTCTGAAAGTAATAAAATTAATGTTCTTTTGGAAACAGTATCTTGTCTTTTCAAGCAGATAATAGTTTCTCCTAGCAGTATTTAGTCTTCTCCAAGCAGGTCGTAATCTTTTCTAGTAGTATATAGCGCTCTGAAAGCAGTAAGTAGTCTTATGGAGGCAGTATCTCGTCGTTCCAATCAGTTTATAGTTGTTAGTTAGCATTATGTAGTCTTCTCCAAGCAGATTATAATCTTTTCCACCAATATCTAGCATTATGGAAGCAGTAGATACCTTCTTTGAAGAGGATATCTCTTCTTTCCAAGTGGTTATTAGTCTTTTCCAGTAATATTTAGCATTCTAGAAGCAGTAGGTAGCTTTTTGGAAAGTATATCTCTTTTCCAAACAATTATTAAAGTCTTTGAAAGCAATAAGTAGTCTTGGAAGCAATATTCCAAGTAGGTAAGTAGGTAAAACCTTTAACAGCAATGTTTAGCGTTCTGGAAGCAATAGGTATTATTTTGAAAACAGTATCTAGTCTTTTCCAAGTAAGTTGTGGTCGTTTTCTGCAATATCTAGCATTTTAGAAGCAGTAGGTAACTTTTTGAAATAGTATTTAATCTTCTGATAGCAACAATTAGTCTTTTTCCAACCGTATCTAGCATTCAGGAACCAATAAGTTAATGTTTAAGAGACATTTTAGTCGCTGTGACATAAAATATCACTATGTTGCATTTTTTTATTGCAGCAAAACTAGAACTAACACTAGACCTAGAACTAGAAACATTCGGGACAATGATTCTAGTTCTAGGTCTTGTGTTAGTTCTAGTGATAACACTTAGTAGTGTTTTGGCAGCAGTATATAGTCTTCTGAAAGCATTAAATAGTTTTTGCCAACAATATCTAGTCTTCTCCAAGCAGGTCCTAATCTTATCCATCAGTATTTAGCATTCTAGAAGCAATAGGTATTATTTTGCAAACAATATCTAATCTTTTCCAAGCAAATTGTAGCCTTTTTCTGCAGTACCTAGCATTTTAGAAGCACTAGATAACTTTTTGAAATTCTTTCCAAGCAGTATTTAAGCAATAATTAATCTTTCGCCAACAGTATCTAGCATCCAGAGACTTTTCCGCACTATTTTTTTTATATATAACAGCTTACTTGAGTAATTGAGTAAATTTTTAAGCTACATGATGATTCTTGAATTAACCAAAAACACTTTACAACTAAAATTTTTTATTTTAGAACATCACAAAATCATTTTTAAACACCCTACTTTACAACGCAACATCAAATTCAATCGAGCACTTCTACAACCATAACTTGTACGGAAAAAACCACCAAAACTCGTTTGATTTTCCCCCAAATTTGATATTAACCACCTCATCGTTTGCGAAAACTTCAATTCTTCAAGTTGAAAATTTAAACGGAACTTGGACAAATTTGAAATCATCGTTATCGAAGACGATGTTACACGGACTTTTGGCATACCCTTTAATTTCGATTCCTATTTGTGGGTCGACGAAACATTTCGATTTGGACTCTCAAATTGAATTGTGTACCCGGTGGTACATGATGGGGGCTTTTATGCCGATTTTAAAGATTAATTCCGAAGCTCCTTATCGAGATCCCACTTCTTTCGACACCGATCATCATCGAAATTTGGTTTTAAACGCTTTTAAGTTCCGGGAGAAATTCTTTTTATATTTATACACGATTTTAATTAAAGAAGAACCAATAATTCGTCCGATGTTTTATGAATTTTACTCCGATTTGAGTACCTTTCATTTGGACGAGCAATACATGGTGGGCGAAAATTTGTTATTAGCCCAACCGTTTTCGCCGGAATCTTCATTAATGAGGGTTTATTTACCTCAAAATGAAACTTTTTATGAGTATTTTGGTGGGATGGAGTATTCTGGGGATCGTTTAGGATGGGTTAATTTGACTTACCGTCCAACTGATTGGTTCGTTTTTGTTCGAGGAGGATCCATTTTGATTTTGTTGGATGAAAAGGTTGAAAATGAGGTTAAAGTGGAATATTTTCAAGTTGTTGTTGCACTTAAAACTGGCGAAGGCGATGAATCCAAGAAAGAAGCGTTTGGTTCGGTTATCTTAGATGGAATTGAGTTAAGTGTTAAATCAACTGAGAGTGAGGTTACGATTTCGAAGGATGGATCGCAAGATTGTTGCATAAATGGGTTAGATTATCCAAAGATTATCGATTCTTTTATATTTTATGGATTGAACGAGTCCAAAGTGGAGTTTAATTCGGTTAATTTTGATTTTTGCGGGGATAATTGTGTTTATACTTTAACCTAATCAATAATTTTGTTTAAATTTTAGGTTATGTAGTTCTATTTTGATTTTTTGTTATTAGGTGTAAGAAATAAATAATTTATTATATTGTTTAATCAACCCGAATTTATAAATATACCCGAAATATGCTTTAATTTGATACTAAACACGACCTATTTAGGTTGAAGAATGAAAAAGTTATTAAAAAGTGTCAAATATCAAAATCAAATTAATTCATAAATATTGAAATAATCTTAATAAGAATCAAAAATGCTTTAATTTGATACCAAACATGATATATTTGGGTTAAAAAATAAAAAAGTTAGGTTAGAAACTGTCAAATGTCAAAATAAATGTAACGATTTTTTGATAAATATTGAAATGATCTTAATAAGAATCAAAAATGCTTTAATTTGATACCAAACATGACGTATTTGAGTTAAAAAATAAAAAAGTTAGGTTAAAAACTGTCAAATGTCAAAATAAATGTAACGATTTTTTGATACATATTGAAATGATCTTAATAAGAATCAAAAATGCTTTAATTTGATACCAAACATGATATATTTATGTTAAGAAATAAAGAATTCGGTTATAAACTGTCAAATGTAAAATAACCGCCATTTTTTTTTGCTAAAAATTAAGATATCTCGATAACCGTTAGAGATAAATAGGTCGAATTTGGATTCATCTTAAAGGATTTTTAATTTTCTATCCATTTATGTTAAAAAAAGAACACCTTTATAACTAAAAAAAATTTTTGAATTGATCCTTATTAAGAAACAAATACAAAATTTGATTATGTCCGATTAATCGAGCATGCTCAACCGTGTTGGTTTTTGTTGGCAAACATGATATATTTGGGTTAAAAAATAAGAAAGTTAGGTTAGAAACTGTCAAATGTCAAAATAAATGTAACGATTTTTTGATAAATATTCAAATGATTTTAATAAGAATCAAAAATGCTTTAATTTGATATCAAACATGATATATTTATGTTAAGAAATAAAGAGTTCGGTTATAAACTGTCAAATGTCAAATAACCACCATTTTTTTTTTGCTAAAAATTAAGATATCTCGATAACCGTTAGAGATAAATAGGTCGAGTTTGGGTTCGTCTTAAAGGAATTTTAATTTTCTATCCATTTATGTTAAAAAAAGAACACCTTTATAACTAAAAAAAATTTTTGAATTGATCCTTATTAAGAAACAAATACAAAATTTGATTATGTCCGATTAATCGAGCATGCTCAACCGTGTTGGTTTTTGTTGGCAAACATGATATATTTGGGTTAAAAAATAAGAAAGTTAGGTTAGAAACTGTCAAATGTCAAAATAAATGTAACGATTTTTTGATAAATATTCAAATGATTTTAATAAGAATCAAAAATGCTTTAATTTGATATCAAACATGATATATTTATGTTAAGAAATAAAGAGTTCGGTTATAAACTGTCAAATGTCAAATAACCACCATTTTTTTTTTGCTAAAAATTAAGATATCTCGATAACCGTTAGAGATAAATAGGTCGAGTTTGGGTTCATCTTAAAAGATTTTTAATTTTCTATCCATTAATGTTAAAAAAAGAACACATTTATAACTAAAAAAAATGTCTGAATTGATCCTTATTAAGAAACAAATACAGAATACATAAAAACCGTGTTGGTTTTTGTTGGCAAACATGATATATTTGGGTTAAAAAATAAAAAAGTTAGGTTAGAAACTGTCAAATGTCAAAATAAATATAACGATTTTTTGATAAATATCCAAATGATCTTAATAGGAATCAAAAATGCTTTCATTTGATACCAAACATGATATATTTTTGATAAAAGATAAAAAAGTTAGGTTAGAAACTGTCATATGTCAAAATAAATGTACGATTTTTTGATAAATATTCAAATGATTTTAATAAGAATCAAAAATGCTTTAATTTGATATCAAACATGATATATTTATGTTAAGAAATAAAGAGTTCGGTTATAAACTGTCAAATGTCAAATAACCACCATTTTTTTTTTGCTAAAAATTAAGATATCTCGATAACCGTTAGAGATAAATAGGTCGAGTTTGGGTTCGTCTTAAAGGAATTTTAATTTTCTATCCATTTATGTTAAAAAAAGAACACCTTTATAACTAAAAAAAATTTTTGAATTGATCCTTATTAAGAAACAAATACAAAATTTGATTATGTCCGATTAATCGAGCATGCTCAACCGTGTTGGTTTTTGTTGGCAAACATGATATATTTGGGTTAAAAAATAAGAAAGTTAGGTTAGAAACTGTCAAATGTCAAAATAAATGTAACGATTTTTTGATAAATATTCAAATGATTTTAATAAGAATCAAAAATGCTTTAATTTGATATCAAACATGATATATTTATGTTAAGAAATAAAGAGTTCGGTTATAAACTGTCAAATGTCAAATAACCACCATTTTTTTTTTGCTAAAAATTAAGATATCTCGATAACCGTTAGAGATAAATAGGTCGAGTTTGGGTTCGTCTTAAAGGAATTTTAATTTTCTATCCATTTATGTTAAAAAAAGAACACCTTTATAACTAAAAAAAAATCTGAATTGACCCTTATTAAGAAACAAATACAAAATTTGGTTATGTCCGACTAATCGGGCGTGCTCAACCGTGTTGATTTTTGTTGGCAAATATGATATATTTGGGTTAAAAAATTAAAAAGTTAGGTTAGAAACTGTCAAATGTCAAAATAAATATAAGTATTTTTTGATAAATATTGAAATGATCTTAATAAGAATCAAAAATGCTTTAATTTGATACCAAACATGACGTATTTGAGTTAAAAAATAAAAGAGTTAGGTTAGAAACTGTCAAATGTCAAAATTAAATATATCAATTTTTTGATAAATATTCAAATGATCCTAATAAAAATCATAAATGCTTTAATTTGATATCAAACATGATATATTTTGGTTAACAAATAAAAAAGTTAGGTTAGAAACTGTCATATGTCAAAATAAATGTACGATTTTTTGATAAATATTCAAATGATCTTAATACGAATCAAACATACTTTCATTTGATACCAAATATTAATATATTTGGTTTAAAAAATAAAAACAGTTAGGTTAGAATCTGTCAAATGTCAAAATCGTTGTTTTTAATTAACTTATTAGATGTAAGAAATAAATAATTTATTATATTGTTTAATAAACCCATATTTATTATAATCTCAACGTTAATTATTAATAATCATAAATTAATTTGTTTAAATTCAAGGACAGTAGAATCTAAAAGGACTGCTACATCCATTGTATTTTTGTAGTCCACTACGGGTTGGTTGCCCGCACTCTACGTCACACTATTTGCCACGCCTGGCAACTGTCTGTGTTTTTAGAGGTTATATGATAGACATTAATACGTATAAAAACATAAAATTTCAAAAATAATATGAATACGTCTACGATATAACCCCTAAAAATAAACAGCAAACGCATACACCATAACAACAGCTGGGCGTGGAAAATGGTGTGACGTAGTTTGCGGGCAGGTTGTCACAACAATGGATGTAGCAGTCCTGTTAGATTCTACTGTCCTTGGTTTAAATTAATTATTTTTTAGTCTTTGTGGAACCCACCGTGAGATGGCGCCACCTTCTCCAAATAATTACCGACTTCAAAATTGAATTAAGGTAAATTTTCAATAAATTAAAACAAAAAAAATAATTTTATTTTAAATTAACATTAAATTATACATAATTTTATTAAAATTTGTAATAATAATAATAATTAATTCCATCGCAAAATGGATCTACTTTATCGACATCTTTACGTTGGACTGTCATTATACGTCGCGAGATGGAAAATTTTAAACAAATTAATACATGAACAATAATTTTATTTTAAATTAATATTGAATTGTTTAATCAACCCGAATTTATTATAATCTCATCGTTAATTATTAATAATTATAAATTAATTTGTTTATATTAATTATTTGTAGTCTTTATGGATCCCACCGTGAGATGGCGCCACTTTCTCCAAATAATTACCGACTTCAAAATTGAATGAAGGTAAATTTTAAACAAATTAATGCACCAAAAATAATTTTTTTTTAATTAACAATAAATTGTTTTTAATTTTATTATAATTATAATCATAAAAATAATTATTTATTTTTATTATTCCATGATAAGATGTTTCTACTTTACCGACATGTTTATGTTTTAACTGTCATTGTCAAAAAGTTAAAGTTGGGTTGAGTTGGGTTGAAAAAGAAATACACGTAGCGTATATGTGTGTTGCCTTGCTAGAAAGCATGTTAATTATATGTCTCTTTTCGTACTCATTTAGAAAAAGCGCTGATGGACGATAGCTCAATAGGTGAAAAGAATATTTCTACAAGGTTTTAAATAGAGGACGAGAAAGATGGAGTAATCCAAGGGAATGAAGCAGCTAGTGATGGAAAGGTATTTAAATATTACATTATAATAAAAAAAATTTAAAGAAATAACCCCTGTATAGCATGGATCCCGTGAAGGCCCATATTTGAATAAGTTAGGTTAGAATCTGTCAAATGTCAAAGTCGAATTTAATTATTTTTTGATAAAAGTTGAAATGATCGTAATAAAAATCAAAAAGCTGTTAATTTAATACCAAGCATGACCTAGTTAGGTAAAAAAAATAAAATGTTAGGTTAAGAATTCAACAAAAAACCTTTGTCACTTATTTTTTGTCTATTAATAACGTTGAATTTGGTTAACATTGATATTTAATTGACAATTTGAGATAAATCATCATCTACGATCTACGTTTTTCTTCAAACATGTATTTCTATCTAATTTCTTATAAAAAATTAAACATCAATTTGTTAAAACGTCACTTTTTGACGTTTAATTATCAAGGTGACGTTTCACCAAAATCAATTCGTATAAGGTCTATTAATGACGTTAAGAATAACTTTAAATTTTCAATCAATTATGTTTTTTGACACACTCTAATTGTTATTTAATTGATAAGTTGACAATTTTAAAGTTGTTAAGTTGTTTTAAATTAAAAAAAAAATCGATTTCCTCTCTCCGTATTTGACTATATTCAGGCTGGACAAAAAAAATATTTTAAAATCAAATTTCTTTTTAAATTTAACACTAATTTTTTTATGTTAAATAATAAACAAATCGATTTCTTTAATTATTCACATTAAATAACTTTAAAGTCAAAATCTCGTTGATTGACGGTTATAACTTCACACTATACATCGAAATGTCATTTCGAATTGTCAAAATGAGATTATCAATTAATTTTCTTTTTCAGCCTAAAAAATGGAGAATTTATCGAATTACCCGGATAGAATCGCCGAAACGTTCAAATCAAAACGTTTTTATCACACGTTTTTTAAATTCTTCGTTGTTTCAACATAAAAAAACTTTTCCTCTTCATCAGAAAGGAAAAGATCCCGCTTCGAGATTAAAGGAAGTTTTCGATAACCCGGAAAGATAATAAAAAATCATTACCTAACTTGTTTAAACATGTTTCTCTTGATTATTGGTTGTTTGAAAAAGTGTTGAATTGATGTTTATTTTTGAATAAATTTCACTAAACAAATTCAAAATGTTTCCTTGAATGACCCCTCATTGGCCTTGACCTAGTTAAAATGAAAATTTTTCTCGAAACTTTGAAGATATCACCTTGAGTTCACCTTGAATGACCTCTAAATGACATTGATGAAGGTAAAAGTGAAAATTGAAAACGAAATTTTGAGCATGTCTCCTTGAGTTCACCTTGAACGACCTCTAAATGACATTGACCTAGTTAAAACTAAAAATTTTTCTCGAAACTTTGAGGAGATGTCCTTGAGTTCACCTTGAATGACCTCTAAATGACATTGATGAAGGTAAAAGTGAAAAATTTTCTCAAAATTTTAAGGATGTCTCCTTGAGTTCACCTTGAACGACCTCTAATTGACATTGACCTAGTTAAAACTAAAAATTTTTCTCGAAACTTTGAGGACCTCTCCTTGAGTTCACCTTGAATGACCTCTAAATGACATTGACGAAGGTAAAAATGAAAATTAAAAACGAAACTTTGAGGATGACTCCCCTTTTTTTCGGGAATATATTTTTAATTAATAATAATTTGAGTTAATTTAAATGTAAAAATAATTGTTTATAAGGTGAGAAAAAATAAAAATCGTTTTTTTTGCAACCATTTTATTTATTAATAAAAATTAGCATTTGTACAGATTTCTATTTTACCAACATATTTTACAGTTTCCTGTAATCACTAATTGACAAAACAGTAAACACAAAACCCTTGCTTAAAAAATATAGATATTAATAATGTTAGTTAAAAAATTTAATTTAAATATGTAATAAAAATAATGTAAAAAAACATAAAAGCGACATATCGAATTTAAGACCTGAAATAAATAAACGTAAAAATTCATTGAATTAAAAATAGATGGCGCACAAATTACCTTGTCAAAATATGATTATTTAAATAATTCGTTTTTAACAAAAATAAGATGTAAAAATAGAAAAGTAACAATTTTTGAGACATAGAAAGTTCCTATTATACATCGAAATTATTATAAATGCACCCCTTCCTTCATAAACAATTCAAATTCAACTTTATTTAACTTGTTAATTGTTTAAAAACACTTCTTGGTGTAAAAATAAAATTAATAATTGTTTTAATCACTCTCATCAGCGTTAAAATCGTTTAGGGATGTATTAATTTATTTAAATGACTTTAACACCACTGACTTTTTATATTATTATTATATTTTTAATTTAATGAATGTAATATAGTGCTTATTTTAATTATTATTAAGATTTTATCAACAAAATTTAACCTTAAATTTAGATTAAAAGGTGAAACGTCAATTTTGAGTCGATAATGTAGATGACATAATCAAGCCGATAAAGTAGACTTGGTTTATATCACAAAATCAGATTATTAATTTATATAAATTAATTAAAATGGTTTAAATAAATAATTATTCGATTAAAAAATAAAAACCTGGTTTATAGATAAACAATTATGTATCTATTATTAACGTTGTGTATAAATTCTAAGAATCTGTTAAAGGTGGAAATGTCAACTTCAAGTCGGTAATGTAGATAATTCGCAAAATTAAATTATTCATTTATAAACTAATCAAAATTTTTGAATAAATAATTCTTAGATTAAAACGATTAAAATCACGTTTATAGATATACATCCATTATAGATATACCTCTTTAGTTTCTTATTCTCTTTACAGCATGTTTCTTGCACTTATAACTTCTTTCCAATCTTAGTTTATTCCGCACAACCTCATTCTTATATTAATAAATAAATAAATAAATTACCCTCTGCCATTTGGGTATCACGAACACAAATATAGATTGAATAACTATGTATATCTATAAACAACGATATTACAAGGTGAAAATGTCAACTTCAAGTCGGTAATGTAGATGACATAATCGAGTCGATAAAGTAGACTTAATTTATAACGCAAAATTAAATTAATTATTATTAATTTATAAATTAATTAAACTGTTTTTAAATCCAAATAATATTTAAATGAAACGATATCTTTAAAGAAATTATTAAAAATAATGAAAAAGTTATTAAAAACAATTAATTAAAAAAACATTTAAAACCAATGCCATCTAGTGACACAATTTCAAACTTCAATAAACGTCAAGGAAAGAAACGTCAAAATTAAGGTTAGTAAGTTAAATATTTTTTATATAATATTTAATTGTAGTTCTAGTTTTACACTTGCACTGTCACTAGAACTACCATTAGACCTAGAACTAGAATCATTTGGGTTTATCCGCACGTCTCTAAAGACGGCTAAACCCGAATGATTCTAGTTCTACGTCTATTCAAAGATAGAGAGCCGTCTGAAGCTTTCTAGGTTTTTCCTGTATGTGATTCTATACAGATACTATGTACATTTTATCTTAATAAAATAGTATTTATCCAAAAAGACTTACCCTTATTTCTAGATTAAATCAAATTTAAGCACTTATACATCATTACGTCAATTTTGAGTCGGTAATGTAGATGACATATCGCGTCGATAAAGTAGACTCAATTTATATCGTATTATTAAATTAATTGTTATTAATTTATAAATTAATTAAAATATTTTTTAAATAAATAATGAGTAAAATAAGAAATGGTAAAGAGATTAAATGATGAAAACTTGATTTATAGATATATATGAGAGTGAAAATGTAACTTGATGTCGGTAATGTAGATAATATAATCGGGTATGATAAAGTAACTACATAAGAAATCTTGACGTAATTTGTATCGCAAAATTATCCCTAAGGTTTCCCTATAAAACGGAAGAGTCATTAATACAAAATAAGAAAAATCAGAATACTTCAAATTCAAATTGACATTATGTTACCAACGCCATCTCTTAATCACCTTTAAAATTATATTATATAGAACATTACATCATAAAAAGTAATACTTAAATGAAACGATATTTTAAAAGATAAGAAGAATTATTAAAAATAATAAAAAAGTTATTAAAAACAATTAATTAAAAAGAAATTAATTAAAAAAAATTAAAAAAACAATTAAAACCAATTCCATCTAGTGACACAATTTCAAACTTCAACAAAATTTTAAAACGTCAAACAAAGAAACGTCAAAATTAAGTTTACCAAGTTAAAGATTTTCACACAAAAACCGATTAAAGGCGATTGCAATTTCGTTGAAAAGAACCAAACACCCATGTAAGTCGCGTTAATAATTTCGATCGAACCGAGGAGTCCCAAACGATGTCCTTCTAACCTTACCATGTCTCTTTTAATAACTGACAACTGCGCATGCGCCGTCCCCGAACACTAATAAACAGCAATTATAACGAAAATTTTCTTCGGAAAATGCCAGAATGGAATTTCTCACAGCCGTAAATCGCAATTTTTTATCAGCCTCTATTAGATTATTACCAAAATATCGCACATACGTCCGGTAAGTTAATTTTTTTTACATTGAGGTTATGTCGCTTTGTTATTACGCATTTAAATTTTAATTTTCCAGATTAGCCGAAGTTGGAAAATTAGAAAACCCAAAATTATCCGGCAAATACGATACGGGTCAATTAATTTTACACCGAGTTTTCGGTTACCGCGGAGTGGTTCTTTTCCCTTGGTTAGCGAGGGTTTACGATCGAGATTTACCTCAACATCGAGATGGAGACGAAGACCCATCTCCCGGTGTTGGGAAAGAAGTGCGGGGTCGAACACACATTTTTTATCAAGTTTTAATCGATCAACGCGATTGCCCATTCATTGTAATTAAAATAATTTAAAAAAAATTGAATTAATAATTAATTAATTAATTTTTAGAGAGCCCAAACTGAAGCGGTAACATTTTTGGGGAATCAAGAATCGTCTCGAAGCCTTTACGCCATCCCCGGTTTAGATTACGTCGCCCACGATGATATTATCCCGTATTCGAGTGCCGAACGCACTCCGTTACAACACGAATTATTCGATAAATTTTTAGCGTATAATCAAGATAAAGATCCTCCGTTTGTTGCTCAAGAAACGCTCAGAGCGTGGCAAAATAAGAATCACCCTTGGTTGGAATTATCAGATGTTCATAAAGAGACGACGGAAAATATTCGGGTGACTGTTATCCCGTTTTTTATGGGATGTAGGGAATCGCATACGAATTCGGTTTATTGGTGGCGTTATTGTATAAGATTAGAAAATTTGGGTGCGTTAGCCGTTCAACTTAGGGAACGCCATTGGAGGATATTTTCGTTATCGGGAACGTTGGAAACGGTCCGAGGTAGAGGCGTGGTTGGACAAGAACCTGCTTTGACTAGAACGTTGCCAGCGTTTCAATACAGTAGTCACGTCAGCTTACAAGCCCCCAGTGGGCATATGTGGGGGACGTTTAGAATGGAGCGAGAAGATGGGTACACGTTTGATTGTCGAATTCCACCCTTTTCACTTGAAAGTAAAACCGAGGGGGGTCCCGCAACACCACCCGAATCAGCTTAGAAGTTTTTCTAAATATTTATTGCTGAACAAGTGTAAATATTCAAAAATATAGAGCCGTTTGTGGCTTTCTCGGTTTTTCCTTTGTGTGATTCTATACAGATACTATGTACATTTTAACTTAATAAAATAGTATTTATCCAAAAAGACTTACCCTTATTTTTACACTAAATCAAATTTAAATTAACTAAAACACTTAAACGTCATTTTTTTAAAAAAAGTTAGGTTAGAAATTATTGTTTGTATCGAAATTCCTAGTTCTTATTTCGTTACCAACCTAAAATATTAGACACAAACAAAAATATAACCTCAAATTATTTTCTTCTTATCACCTTTAAAATTATATTACATTGTTAAAAGTAATATTTAAATGACACGATATTTTAAAACAAATTATTAAAAATAAGTTATTAAAAACAATTAATTAAAAAAGAAATTAAATAAATAAACATTTAAAAGCCATTCCATCTAGTGACATAATTTCAAACTTCAACAACATTTTAAAACGTCAAACAAAGAAACGTCAAAATTAAGGTTAGCAAGTTAAATATTTTTTAGTTTTCTAGTTTTAGTATTATACTTGCACAGTCACTAGAACTAACATTAGACCTAGAACTAGAATCATTCGGGATTAGCCGTCTTTAAAGACGAGCGGCTAAACCCGAATGATTCTAGTTCTTCGTCTAGCATTGCATAACAATTAAAACTAGAAGTAACACTAGACCTAAAACTAAAATCATTTGGGTTTAGCCGCACGTCTCTAAAGACGGCTAAACCCGAATGATTCTAGTTCTAGGTCTATTCAAAGATATACATAGAGATGTTTGTGGCTTTCTCGGTTTTTACTTTGTGTGATTCTATACAGATACTATGTATGTACATTTTAACTTAATAAAATAGTATTTATCCAAAAAGACTTACCCTTATTTTTACACTAAATCAAAATTAAATTTACTTAAAACACTTAAACGTCATTTTTTAAAAAAAAGTTAGGTTAGAAATTGTTTGTATCGAAATTCCTAGTTTTTATTTTGTTACCAACTTAAAATATTTGACACAAAGAAAAATATAACCTCAAATCTTTTTTTTTGCATAAATAAAATAATTTTTAATAATAATAAGGGTGAGATAGGAAACGTGATGTCATGGGANTAATGAGTAAAAGAAGAACTCCTTAGATTAAATGATGATAACCTGATTTGTTATATATCTATTAAAAAGAGTGAAAATGTTAACTTGATGTCGGTAATGTAGATAATATAATCGGGTCGATAAAGTTATATAAGAAATTTTGACGTAATTTGTATCGCAATATTTAAATGACACGGTATTTCAAAAAGAAATTAATAAAAACAATAAAAAAATTATTAAAAACAATTAATTAAAAAGAAACTAATTAAAAAAAAATTCAATAAACAATTAAAAGCAATACCATCTAGTGACATAATTTTAAACTTCAACAACATTTTAAAACGGCAAAATTAAGGTTAGCAAGTTAAATATTTTTTAGTTTTCTAGCTTTAGTTTTACACTTGCACTGTCACTAGAACTAACATTAGACGTAGAACTAGAATCATTTGGGTTTAGCCGCACGTCTAAACCCGAATGATTCTAGTTCTAGATCTATTCAAAGAGCCGTTTGTGGCTTTTTCGGTTTTTCCTTTGTGTGATTTTATACAGATACTATGTACATTTTAACTTAATAAAATAGTATTTATCCAAAAAGACTTACCCTTATTTCTAGATTAAATCAAATTTAAATTTACTTTAAAACACTTAAACGTCATTTTTTAAAAAAAAAGTTAGGTTAGAAATTATTGTTAGTAATTATTGTTTGTATCGAAATTCCTAGTTTTTATTTTGTTACCAACCTAAATTATTTGACACAAAGAAAAATATAACCTCAAATTATTTTTTTCTTAATCCCTTTAAAATTATATTACATAATATATTGTTAAAAGTAATATTTAAATGACACGATATTTTAAAATAAATTATTAAAAATAATGAAAAAGTTATTAAAAACAATTAATTAGAAAAGAAATTAAATAAAAAAAACATATAAACCATTTCCATCTGGTGACACAATTTCAAACATCAACGAAATTTTAAAACGTCAAACAAAGAAACGTCAAAATTAAGTTTGGTAAGTTAAATATTTTCTAATTTTACACTTGCACTGTCCACTAGAACTAACATTAGACCTAGAACTAGAATCATTCGGGATTAGCCGTCTTTAACGACGAGCGGCTAAACCCGAATGATTCTAGTTCTTGGTCTAGCACTGCATAACAATTATTACGTACACTATACCTAGAACTAGAATCGTTTGGGTTAAAAAAAAACGTGACGTTTAATAAAATTGACATTTAATTTTGACAAATTGTTGTGAAGTTAGTTACAATTGGTGACATTGAATTTCTGTCACATTGACGTTTAACCTTTATTAAAAAATTTATTTAAAAACAATAAATTTATGGAATCAATTTCAATAGTAGGTAGTTGTGGACAAAGTATAGTATTCTACTCACATATAATGAGCTATTATTCTATTATATGAGCATATAATGAATGCTATACAGCGTGTCTCGTATTTTCCACATCAGAGCATTATACGGTTGTAGGATACATTATTCTGAAGCTAATAAAAAGTTTTAAAAAAAACGTTAAACCCGAAGTTAGCAGCAATGAAGATAGCAACAATGAAGATAGCAATTTAATTATTAAATATTAATATCAACCTTAATTTTTATTCTTTTTTTATTGTATTTTTTGTAATAAATTTTAAGACATTTTATAAAAGTTAAGAATCTGTCAAAATGACATTAACATTTCAAACCGGAAGTTGACCATAACTTCATTAATATTGAAGATAAATATGTCGTGTTTGTACTCATTTTAAAGGATTTTTAATGAGGATTACAAATATGTCAAAATTGAGGTTGACATTTTAAACCTGAAGTTAGTTATCATATAATAGAAGTTTTATAACTGAAGTTAATCTAGTCGTGTTTTTGGGCCATTTCACATTGATTAATAGTTTGTTAATATTTCTTTTGTTAAGAAAGAGCGTTCTTAAATTTGAACCCGTAAACTTGTAACACTTCGTCCTTAATTTCATTTTACAACTTTTTAAACTTTAATTTTGTAAATTAGTAACTAATAATCTGATTTCGACTTTGATATGTGATCTTTTTTAACAAAACAAAAAGAAATATTGAGAAGATTAGATTAGACTAGATTATTTTCTTCAAATATTTTTACACGAATCGTCATCATTTTGTCTCTAGTTTTAGTGATTAAATTTATGCCACGACTTACAGAAACACTCTGTATGCCCTCTGTGCTTGTGATAGCTGTCATCAATGTCCTGTGATAAAAATGATGTGACCGAACAATTTTCAGTAGTTTGAGCCTGTCTATTCTGAGAAGTTTTATATTTTTAAAGAGATGAAAACGAAAATCCCGCTTTTATTATACTGTTAGATTATTGAATATGCAGATCGTTGATTTGTAATCGATTTCTTTGTAACTTCCCTCCTTAACTTAATAAAATAATATTTATCCAAAAAGACTTACCCTTACACTAAATTTTACGTACACTAAACCAAATTTAAATTAACTTAAAGCACTTAAACGTCATTTATTATTGTTTGTATCGAAATACCTTGGTGATTTAATTTTTTATTTTGTTACCAACCTAAAATATTTGACACAAAGAAAAATATAACCTCAAATCTTTTTCTTTGCATAAATAAAATAATTTTTAATAATAATAAGGATTATAAGTTTATCCAATGACGTCTGGTAAGTTGTGATTTTTTTACGTTGAGGTTACGTCGCCTTGTTACTACGCATTTTAATTCTTTAAATTCAAATTGACATTATGTTACCAACGCCATCCCTCAGTCACATTTCAAACTATATTACATAAAAAAAGTATATCGTTAAAAGTAATATTTAAATGAAACGATATTTTATTAAATAACTAAAAATAAAATGAAAAAACATTATTTTAATTGTTATTAAGGTTTTATCAACAAAATTTACCCTTAAATTTAGATGAAAAGGTGAAATGTCAATTTTGAGTCGATAATGTAGATGACATAATCGAGTCGATAAAGTAGACTTAATTTATATCGCACAATTAAATTAATTGTTAATTTATAAATTAATTAAAATGTTTTTTAAATAAATAATGAGTAAAGAAAGAACTCCTTAGATTAAAGAAAACCTGGTTTATAGATATATACCTATTAATAAGAATGAAAATGTTAACTTGATGTCGGTAATGTAGATAATATAATCGGATCGATAAAGTCACCATATAACAAATCTTGACGTAATTTGTATCGCAAAATTATGAATAAGATTTCCTTGTAAAACGGAAGAGTCATTTTCGGGTGTTTGATGCGAAATAAGGTAAATCAGGATAATACCTTCAAATTCAAATTGACATTATGTTACCAGCGCCATCTCTTAATCACCTTTAAAATTATATTACATAAAACATTACATTGTTAAAAGTAATATTTAAATGACACGATATTTCAAAAAGAAATTATTAAAAGTAATAAAAAGTTATTAAAAACAATTAATTAAAAAATAGTCAATAAACATTTAAAAGCAATTCCATCTAGTGACACAATTTCAAACTTCAACGAAATTTTAAAACGTCAAACAAAGTAACGTCAAAATTAAGGTTAGCAATGATTAGCAAGTTAAATATTTTTTAGTTTTCTAGTTCTAGTTTTACTTGCACTGTGACTAGAACTAACATTAGACCTAGAACTAGAATCATTCGGGATTAGCCGTTAAAGACGAGTGGCTAAACCCGAATGATTCTAGTTCTTGGTCTAGCACTGCATAACAATTAAAACTAGAACTAACACTAAAAAAAATAAAAGTCTGAGGACGCACGGCTAAACCCGAATTTTCTAGTTCTAGGTCTAGAGTTAGTTCTAGTTTTACGCTAGCATTATTATTATGTAGAACTAACACTATACCTAGAACTAGAATCATTTGGGTTTAGCCGCACGTCTCTAAAGATGGCTAAACCCGAATGATTCTAGTTCTATTCACAGATATAGAGCCGTTTGTGGCTTTTTCGGTTTTTCCTTTATGTGATTCTATACAGATACTATGTACATTTTAACTTAATAAAATAGTATTTATCAAAAAAGACTTACCCTTATTTCTAGATTAAATCAAATTTAAGCACTTAAACACCATTTTTTTTAAAAAAAGTTAGGTTAAAAAATATTGTTTGTATCGAAATATCTTGGTAATTTAATTTTTATTTTGTTACCAACCTAAAATATTTGACACAAATAAAAATATAACCTCAAATTTTATTTTTTTTTACATAAATTAGATAATTTTTAACAATTTAATCATAAAAATAAATAGGTCGCTTTAACACCAAAATATCTTTCATCACTTGAGGAATATCCATCCTCATAATACTATTATAAGCCCTAAAATTAACCTCATTTTGGTATTTATCAAAAATAACGTCCCGAATACTATCGCGAGCGAGTTGTAACAAACTCTTTACATAATCCTCCCTAGCGAAATAAGGTTTCTCTTTTTTCTTATAACCTATATCACAATCTAACGTAAAACAATTATAAATCATTTTTTGTATAAACTCCCCACTATTACCTTGATAAACAATCGGAACTTCCGACGTAAAAATCGCTTCAATCTCCTCACAAAATCCATTATAATCATGTAAACACTCAATATCTCTTACACGAACTAAAACACCTTTACTTAAAAGCGTCCAAATCCATTTTAAACTATACTCCGTACCATTAAAACTGCAAATAATTGAGCCGAAAGGGAATGAAACGTCTTCAATTCCTTTATTGATAATATCAAAAGCAATTGGCATCTTATTATCAATAGCTAATGATAAAAAAGTGTCTCCAGCTTCATCTTGATAACTAAAATCGTCGATGTAATCAAATAAAATTTCGGCTATTTCTTGATTTCCCATTTTATTCGCGGAATGAAATGGGGTACATTTCGAATATGTGCTGATTTCGTTCACCGATGCGTTATAATATAAAAGCATACATACAAAATCAACATTTTTCGCAATAACGGCTTCATGTAATGGAGTAAATCCCTCGGAATCTTTCGCATCAACATTAGCACCCTTTTCAATTAAAAGAGAACCAATTTTAATATCTTTTTTATTAGCCGCTATGTGTAAAGCAGTTACACATTCTAAATTATTGACGTTTATATCACAGTTATGATCAACGAGACATTTTATGACTTCGTATGAATCATTTAAATAAAGCGCATGTAACAAAGGGGTATTTCCATAATGATTTTGCACGTTAATACGCACATTTTCTAACGAAAGGAAATATTTTAAAGCGTTTAAACTTGCGTATCCAGCTGCTAAATGAATACAAGTATTTCCAGCTTCGTCTCCAAGATTTAATTTGTAATAATCCGTGTTAAGATGTTTCATTATTTCGTCCATGTTATCGTCGCATATTGCTCTACGTAATGGGTTAAGAATCCCTATCGATGGTACACCCGTTTTCCAATAAAACATCTAAATTTATGCAAAATTAAATTTTTTGAGGTTATATTTTTATTTTTTTACTCACTTTTAAGCACGGGTCGTGATCGTGCAATTCGTCACTATCACTATTATTTTCATTCATTCTTTTTCATGAAATTAATCGAGATTAAAACCAAATTTAATTTAAAATCGCAACTTAAATTTGTATCGAAAATTAAGTTAAGGTTATGTTGATTGTTTTGACGTAAATGTAAGTGGCTCCATCTATCGGCTTTTTTTGTAAACTTTTTTTTATTAATAAAATATAATTAATTAAAATTTTGATATTTTTTAATTATTATTATTATTTTTTAATCAAAATCAATTTGATTCAACTTTATTAGAATAATTGATTAAATTAAGAATGATTTTTCAATAGGAATGAAGATCCCTACAAATTTTGACATAAATAACCTAAAAATTATTTTTTAATAAAATTTATATAAATACCTCAAATGAAGCTGTTCCGCTCAATTAATTTAATCAAATCTTCAATCAAATTCTATTTTACCTCTACCACTTGTTCTATTTCATCTAATATACATACTTTTCTAATACGTGTATTTAACCTTTCAACAACTGCAATAAAAATATACAACAATCAAGCGCTGAATAACATTTAAAACTAGAACTAACACTAGACCTAAAACTAGAAAGCTTCGGGTTTAGCTTCGGGTTTAATACTAGACAAAGCTTGCGTCTAAATTTATGCAAAATTAAATTTTTTGAGGTTTTTTCATTTTTACTTACTTTTAAGCACCAGTCGTGATCGTGCAATTAATCACTATCACTATTATTTTCTTTCATTCTTTTCCATGAAATTAACCGCGATTAAAACCAAATTTAATTTAAAATCGCAACTAAGACTATTATTGCAAAATTAAGTTAAATGAGGTTGTTTTGACGTAAATGTAAGTGGCTCCATCTACCGATGTTTTTTTGTAAATTTTTTTATAAAATCTAATTAACTATAATCTTGATTTAATATTTTTTAATCAAAATTAATTTGATTCAACTTTATAAGATTAATTAATTAAATATTCTTAATTAAATTAATTAATTTGATTAATTGATATTGAAAAGGAATGAAGTTGGTGTCAATCCCTACAAATTTTGACGTAAATAAAAACAACCTAGAGGTTATGTCTTTATTTGTTTACTTACTTTTAAGCACGGATCATGATCTTGCAATTCATCACTATTCATTCTTTTTCATGAAATTAATGGAAATTAAAACCAAATTTAATTTAAAATCGCAACTTAATGTTGTATCAAAAATTAAGTGAAGGTTATGTTGACTATTTTGACGTAAATCTAAGTGGCTCCATCTATCGGCTTTTTTTGTAAACTTTTTTTATTAATAAAATTTAATTAACTAAAATTTTGATATTTTTTTAAATATTTTTTAATTATTATCATTATTTTTTAATCAAAATTATTTTAATTCAACTTTATTAGAATAATTAATTAAATTAAGAATGATTTTTCAATAGGAATGAAGATCCCTACAAATTTAAATAAAAACATAACCTAAAAATAATTTTTTAATAAAATATATATAAATACCTCAAACGAAGCTGTTCCCCTCAATTGATTTAATCAAATCTTCAAATAAATTCTATATTAAAGCTCCTTTTATACAACATCATTTAATTTACCTCTTTAAGTTTCAACCGTTGCCTCTTAATGGAATCCACAATACAATGACCCCAAATACTTCTTCCATAATGATTTTGCACATTAATAGGAACATCTTTTAACTAAAGATAATATTTTAAAGCGTTTAAACTTGCTTTATTTCCAGCTTCGTCTCCACGATTTAATTTGTAATAATCTGTGTTAAGATGTTTCATTATTTCCTCCATGTTATCGTCGGATATTGCTCTACGTAATGGGTTAAGAATCCCTATCGATGGTACACCCGTTTTCCAATAAAACATCTAAATTTATGCAAAATTAAATTTTTTGAGGTTATATTTTTATTTTTTTACTCACTTTTAAGCACTATCACTATTATATTCATTCATACTTTTTCATGAAATTAATCGAGAATAAAACCAAATTTAATTTAAAATAGTAACTAAAATTATTATTGCAAATCTAAGCTTTGAATGAGGTTATGTTGATTATTTTGACGTAAATGTAAGTGACTCCATCTACCGGCCTTATTTTGTAAACTTTTTTTTATTAAAATCTAATTAATTATTATTATTTTTTAATCGAAATTAATTTGATTCAGCTTTATTAGAATAATTAAGTAAATTGGGTATGATTTTGAATAGGAATGAAGTTGGTCTCAACCTAAAAATTATTTTTAAGGTTTTAAAGAGAATTTGTATAAATACCTCAAATTAAGCTGTTTCTTTCAATTAATTTAATCAAATCTTCAAACGAATTCTATATTAAAGCTCCTATTATACAACATCATTTAATTTACCTCTTAACGTATCAACCCTTGCCTCTTAACGTAATCAACAATACAAGAATCTCAAATGATTCTATTTCTTCTTCTATATAATCTAATATACGTACCATTCTAATACGTATATTTAACCTTTCAACTACTTCAATAAAAATAAAACATTAAATTTATGCAAAATTAAACTTTTTGAGGTTACGTTGATTATTTTGACGTAAATGCAAGTAGCTCCATCTACCGATTTTTTTTCTTGGTAAACTTTTTTATAAAATTTATAATAATTATTATAAAATAATTTTATTTTGATTATATATTTCTTAATCAAAATTAATTCGATTCAACTTTATTAGAATAATTAATCATTAATCAATTAAGAATGATTTTCAATAGATCCCTACAAATTTTGACATACATACAAACATAACCTAAAAATTATTTTTTTAGTGTATTAAATAGAATTTACATAAATAAGCTGTACCCCTCAATTAATTTAATCAAATTAACTTAACATTTCAACCGTTTCTTCTTAACGGAATCAACAATACCATGTACTTCCATATGAGCCATTAAATCTCGTTCGTATTGAAACTCTTTATCACAAATCTCGCAAACGCAAATCGTTTCGAGGTTAACATTAAATTTATGGCGACGTAATAAGCACTCAACACTGTACTTTTTTCCGCATTGTTTGCATTTGTAGCATTTCCCAAAATCATAATCAATTTTCTTTTATATAAAAAAAAAAGAATAATTTCCATTATTTCAATTTTATTTGGTATAATTTAAATTACCTTCTTTCGTTTACTCTGAATCGATTCAAGACTTTTCATTCCTTTCCTATCTTTTGACTCATAATCTATGTTAGATATTGTATTTTCGTAAGGAACAATTTCATATTTGCTTATTTCAATTTCATTCTTAATAATTTCATCATTTACATTATTATTTTCCAATTCATTAAACGCGGTATTTCCATCAAACGTTATTTCATTTTCAATTTCTTCAAATTCATTTTCAAACACTAAAATTTCATAATCCGCTTCATCATGGTCATTTTTGATGCTTTGTAGATGTTTTTCTGATTCGAGACATCTAATTTTAAAGGTATATGCATTTTCGAGACTATTCAAACACAAATAACATATTCGGGGCGCTTCGGTTAAACTTAAATCAATTTCGGGGAGAATTAACTCAATGTAATTGTAACACTTTGTCGATAATGACTCCAATTGGATATTTGGGGGCTCTTCGGGGGATTTTAAGCATAATCGGCAGGTTTGCATTTTATTTTAATAAATAAATTTGTAATTATAAATTTTTTTTATAGGTTAAGTAAATTTTAATGACATTTCTATGAAAAAAAGTGGTGCCAACCCACACTAAAAAAATTAACTAAAATTAACTACATAACCTCGTTTTATTTACTAAATTAATAAAATAATCGAAAAAGAATAAGATTTAATGCGAATAAACGTGTTTTCCTTTTAAAATCCTCCTCATCAACACCCTTTGCCCCCCGAACGTTTGCATTCGCTTCAAAAATCCGTGTCTTTTAACCCGTTTCCTTTCTGATGGTCTTGGAAAGTGGCACCGAATCACATTTCGGACACTAACGGTAAATAAACCACCAGGAGAAGGATTAATTTGCGAAATTGGGGAGATACGGCTTTAAATTAAATAAATAATAAAAATTAATAAAATATTATTACTTTTTGTTTTTGTACTTACGATGCTGCATTAACGGTTAAATTAAACACCCGATTAAGTAACGACATAATTAATTAATAACAATTACACCAAAAAATCGTTTGATTATCGTTAGGGTAAAAAGTTAGGTTATGTTTGACACGAATGACAAGATCTAATTTTAGAAAGAGATAGATATATAAAAAAAATTTTAAATCGCTTTTTAATTAATCAAAAAATTAATTTAAGTCACTAAAAACGAATTTTTAATTAATAATAAAGAATAATCGTTTTAAATCATAAATAATTAAAAATTAATTCAAAAAAGATTCCTTTTCCCGCTTTTTTTCATAAAACATCATCCGCCATATTGGCATATAGCCGTCAGTATTTTCGCACGAAAATACCTGAGTTTTTGTCAAATAGTTTACGGAAATCTTCAAAAAAGCAGTAAGTAAATCGTTAAATTAACTCATTAAGCACCGATTTTTATTATAAAAATCATTAATCGCCCAATCATTAATCGCAACCCCCAAAAAGTTCGATCCCAAGCTAAAACACATAAACATAACCTCACTTTTTAAGGTGATTTTGTGAAGGCAATGAGTAAATCTGGTAAAAAAGACCAACAAGGTGACGGCGAAGAATATACCGTCGAGAAAATCATCGATAAACGTGTTAACGCAAACGGTACCGTCGAATATTTATTGAAATGGATTGGTTACGACGATAAAGACAACACTTGGGAACCAGTTAATCATTTGGATTGTCCCGGATTGATCGAGGCTTTTGAAACGGAACGGGCTAAACAAGACAAAGAGAGGGTTAAGAAACGAAAAAGTATGAGTACTCCCACAAATGAGGTTAGAAAAAAGAAGGTGGAGGATAAAAAGCAAGGTTTCGATCGGGGTTTGGAGCCAGAGAAGATTATTGGTGCTACGGATAGTTCAGGTTTGTTAAAAATTAATAATTAATTAAAAATAACATTAAATTTAATTTCATTTTAGGACAATTAATGTTTTTAATGAAATGGGCCGGTACGGATGAAGCTGATTTAGTCGCGGCTAAACAGGCAAATGTAAAATGTCCGCAAGTAGTGATAAAGTTCTATGAGGAAAGATTAACGTGGCATTCACCCAACGCGGAGGAGGATAAAAATGAGAAAGCTTAAAAATAATTCTTTAAGATAATATCTCTTGATTTTTTTTTTCTATTTTTTTGTTTATTTAGGGTTAAAGTTGTAACACACAAACAGGATGTATCTATTACGTTTACGATTAATGTTCTTACCGCCTAGAATAAGGCTAATAGAAAAATTATAATAAGGTACATTTAAAAAAAATAATCTTCTCGTATTTTTTAAAAAAATAAACTTCTCGAAAACTTTTTTCTTTTTGTTTTATTGTTTTGAATAAATTTTATTAATAATTAACCTCAATAATAGTTTATTGATTCCATAAATTTATTTTATTAAATAAATTTTTGGATAATGTTTAAACGTCAATTGTGACACAAATTCAATGTTACCAACTGTAACTAACTTCACAATAATTTGTCAAAATTAAACGTCAATTTTATGAAACGTCATATTAAAAAGGAATCTGCTTCGGCCGCAACCGACCTCGACAGAGTGAGGATTAACGATTTCTCATTTAATTGCTGTACACTTGTCCAAGACATTAAATGACGTTTGAAAACGCATAACCTGAAACTTTTTAGTTCTAGGACTAAGGTGAGTTCTAGCTTTAATTGTCAGTAAAAAAGTAATTCTGACATTATCGTCCGTCATTGAATTATTTTTTTATGTCAAAACACCCAATTTACAAAATCACTAAAATCTTAATATTCTAACACTGTCAATGTCAAACGTCAAATTTGATATTATGTCACATAAAAATTAGTTCAATTTGATACCAACCTAAATCATTTGTATTAACGTCAAATTTGACATTAAAACTTAATAATTAATTAAATTTAAGTCAATCCGCAATAAATTGGCGTTAAAATTTAAACGGCGAACGGTTTTTCGGTAAATTTTTGATCCGGAGTCTTCATAAAAATAGACTCCTTTTTTAAATTATCATATTCAGGGGCATTTTCGCCGGCCTTTAATAATAAAGAATACATCACGAAAGATTATCATGAAGTTGTCCATTTGTCTATTATATGATAACTAACTTTAGGTTTAAAATGTCAACCTCAATTTTGACATATTTGTAATCTTCATTAAATATCCTTTAAAATGAGTACAAACACGCCATATTTATCTTCAATATTAACGAAGTTATGGTCAACTTCCGGTTAGAAATGTCAACGTCAATTTTGACATATTTGTAATCGTCGTGAAAAATCCTTTAAAATGAGCCCAAACATGATACGTTTAATTCCAATATTACTCGAGATATAAGCAACTTCCGGTTTCAAATGTCAATGTCATTTTGATATATTTTTAATTTTTATGAGATGTTTTAAAATTTGTCACAAAAACAAAAATGTAATTAAAAAAAACAGAAATTAAGGTTGGTATTAATATTTAAAAATTAAATTGCTAACTTCCGGTTTAATGTTTTTTTATTCAAACTTTTTTGTTTTTTGAGATAAGTGCGTCATCTTTGGACTCATTTTAAAGGTTTTTTCATGAACATGACAAATATGTCATAATTGGCGTTGACGTTTCAAACCGGAAGTGATTGTATTTCCATTAATATTAAAGTTAAATATGTCGTTTGGACTCATTTTAAAGGATTTTTTATGAAGTTGACAAATACGTCAAAATTAAAAATTGAAAGATCGATTTTTTTGGTTTTTTGAAATTTTTGAAAATATAATAAAAAAATTCAGAAATTAAGGTTGGTATTATGATTTTTTAATAAAGAATACATCATGAAAGAACACCATGAAGTTGTCTATTATATGATAACTAACTTCAGGTGTAAAATGTCAATCTCAATTTTGACATATTTGTAATCTTCATTAAAAATCCTTATTAATGAAGTTATCGCCAACTTCCAGTTAGAAATGTCAACGTCAATTTTGACATTTGTAATCGTCGTGAAAAAATCCATTAAAATGAGCCCAAACATGATACGTTTAATTCCAATATTACTCGAGATGTCAATGTCATTTTGATATATTGTTAATTTTTATAAGAAGTCTTAAAATTTGTCACAAAAACAAAAATATAATAAAAGGTCAATATAATATAATTCTAGGTCTAGAGTTCTAGTTTTAATTGTTAGTAAAAAAGTAATTCTGACATTATCGTCTATCATTAAATTGTTTTTAATGTCAAAACATCTAATTTACAAAATCACTAAAATCTTAATATTCCAACACTGTCAACGTCAAATTTGAAATTTGTCTAAAAATTAGTTCAATTTGATACCAACCTAAATCATTTCTGTTAACGTCAAATTTGACATTAAATCAAATTAATTATTTATTTAATTATTAGTTTGTCAAGTTGATTAAGTTGTTTTTGGGTTGGAATTGGTTTTGCAGGATTGGTGTTGAAGTAGGTCGTTTTTGGGTTGGATTGAGTTGCTTTGTATTTGGTTGTTTTCGGGTTGGATTTAGTTTAGCTGGGTTGGAAATGGACTTAATCGAGAAACCGGGAAACTCAGAGCAAAAAAAGTACAGACCTCTTTCTTTATTAAACAACTATGGCAAAATATTTGAATCTTTGATTAAGAACTCAGGAATCAACGCTGAGTTAGAGAGAGAGAGAGATCGACGGTACATGCTATCGAGGAGGTCATAGAAGAGGCAACGGAAGAGGAAAGAGGAAAAAGTGTTTAATGATTTCCGTAGACGTGAGGAATGCCTTTGGAACTGTGCTGTGAAAAGAATGAAACGGTCTAAATATTTGATCAAGGTAATAATATCATATTTAAGTATGAGATCTATTGAACATGAAGGGACTCAGCATAAAATAACCAGAGGTATTCCTCAAGGATCGGTTCCACTCTCGTGGAACATGTTCTTTGACAAGTTACTAGATACTAATCTGCAGTGTGGCGATGCACGACTGAAGCGATTATGCTTAGGAGCAGACGAAGTTCCAGAGAGATTAAATTGATGGTGAAAGATGTACAGATTACCACAAAAGACTTGCTCAAGTATCTTGAAGTGACTCTGGCTAAAGACCTAAAGAACTACAACCTAGAGCTAGCTGCCAATGGATCTGATGATTAAAGGAAGAGCAGCAAGTCGGGAGAAGGATGGCGACGAGATCGACAAAGAGAATTCTAAAAGATCTATAAGGTCTGTTGTTTTTTTTCATTCTTTCGACATACCATTTTTGTGCTATCCCGGAGGACCACGCAACCAGGAGAAGATCGGAAAAGAGAGGAACCTGGGTCTAAGAATGTAATGGAGGTGGTGGAACATCGAAGGCCAGAAGAAATGTACTATGGAAACTAATCGTAGAAATTTTTTAAACGACAAAACTGTTGACGTCACCACATATTTCCGGGCAGCGTTGCCAACCCTACCGATTTATCGGTATATGTACCGATATAAAAGATACTCTGATACCATCGATATGGCAATGTCGCTCGAGCAACGTTGCCAGATCGTTAATATATACAGTACGCGTCATAAGTAAAACCCCTGCTTAATTTGAAAACGGTTCAAAATATAATATTGTCAAAATAGATATTGACGCATCTCAGAGCAAAAGTGATAGAGATCAATATTGTTATAAATAAAATTTGCTACAACTTTTATTGTAAAAGTTTTTTTGTAACACGCTGCGATTCCCGAGTATTAATTAGCTTTAATAACTTAAAAAAGCTACAGATTCATCAAATTTCCGTATCTATCACGATATTAACGCATCTAATAGCAAATATGTAAGAGAGCAATATTGTTAACAATAAAATTTGCTACAACTTTTGCGCTAAAAGTTTTTTTGTAACATGCTGCGATTCCTAAGGGTTACCTTTAACAACTTGAAAGAGCAACAAATTCATAAAATTTTCATATTTTCGCATCTATCTCGATATTGACGTATCTACGAACAAAAGTGCAAGAATGCAATATTGTTAACAATAAAATTTGCAACAATTTTTGTTATAAGAGTTTTCTTATAGCATGCTCCGATTCCCGAGTGTTACCTTTAATAATCACTGATTTCGAGCGAGCCCTTAACAATTTCGGTGATAAGATTAAGCAAGTCGATGCGCTGGTCGCTGTAAATTCTAAACTTAAGGCTGATCTAGCTGCTGCGGAGTGTCGCCTTGATCACCTCGAGCAGTATTCGCGGCTCAATAATCTGATCATCGCGGGAGTTCCCGAACATGTAGGAGAAAATCTTCCCGAAATTGTGTCCAACATTGCGGAAGCTATCAAATCTCATATTGTGGCTTCCGATATAGATGCAGTTCATCGCTTGCCTCAAAGACCATCTCCAGGAAAAGACAAGTCGCGCGCTAAGACCATTATAGTAAAGTTCACCTCCAGAATAACATGTGACCGTATTTCTAGCGCGGCCAAATTTTATCGTCGCAGTGCCAATGGCCGCTGTCTGTCGATTCCCGACGTTGTGGATAATCTTTACATTAATGAACATCTTACAGCTCGTAACATGGACCTGCGAGAAATCGCGAGAAATAAAAACTACAAGTATATCTGGACGAAGAGCTGCGTGATCCATGTGCGGAAAGATGATAGAGCGAAGATTTTGGTGATCAAATCGTCGTCTGACTTGAATAAATTGTAAGATGGCCCTCGTCGTTTTTATTGTTGTTCCTATCACTTTTTAACGGTTTATGGGTATCAGCTTCTATTATCAGAACGTCCGTGGTTTACGATCCAAGACTAATACTTGTTCAATCAATTCACATGCCTTATTGGCGGATTTTATCTGCCTTACTGAAACATTTCTTAATGATAGCATATCCGACAAGGAGTTACTCAACTCATCTTATACCGTATATCGTCGCGATAGAAATTCAACGGCTTCCACCAAGCGCGATGGTGGCGGAGTCCTTATAGCTGCGAAGCATGGCTTTCATACCGTTCCCATGCCGAGTCTGCAAAGTGGTGCGGAGGACTTGTGGTTGAAAGTTCAGTGCGGTCAACTAATTTTTCTTTTGTGCTGTGTTTATCTTCCTCCTTCTGCTGATGAAGCGCTGAATCTGTTTTTGTCCAGTGTGTCTGCTGTGCGCGATGCCTACCCGGAAATTATGATTGTTATTATAGGTGATTTCAACATGCCAACTATCTCTTGGTCTATGTCTGAAGATGATGTATTAATTCCCACAGGGAATTTCGACCGTCGCGCGATTGATTTTCTTAACATTTATTCATATTGTAATTTTAGTCAATTTAATAATGTATCGAATATTAATAATAGAATTCTTGATCTTGTTCTATGCGCTAACGGTCGAGTCGAAAGCATACACCTCTGCAACGATCCACTTGTGGATCCTGACTGCCACCATCCACCGTTTGAATTCTTATTATCGGGCATGTTCATTTGTCTGAGTGATGGTCCGAATGTTCGCTTTCTTTTTAAGAACGCGAATTCCGGAGCTATCAAGTGTTTCTTAAATAGTATCGATTGGCAGACTGTTTTTGCTGGGATGGGCGTGGAGAGCATGGTTGAAGTTTTCTATGACCGCGTTAATTATGTAATTAACAGAGACGTTCCTAAGCGCTTTCTGCCTAAGCAACGTTTTCCTTACTGGTACAAACGTTCAACTATTCGTGTCATTAAAGAAAAGCTACTTTACCATAAAAAATGGAAATCTACTCGCCATAATAGTGATTACTTGGCTTTCTCTATCTTGCGCTCCAGGTCTAAGAGGCTTATTGCGGCTGATTGTAGAGATTACTTAAACTCGATTCAGGTGGAGGTTATGGAAAATCCCAAAGGAATCTGGTCCTTTGTTAAGTCCAGGAAAGGGGATGTGTCTGGCTTGCCAGCCGCTATGTTTTCTGTTGATGGGTCAATGGTGACCTCAGGTCCTGATATCTCTTGTGCATTTGCAGAGTATTTCGCCTCGGTTTTCGTAGATGGTAGTATTGACCGCTCAATGGTCTTCGGTGGCCAGGGTGTTTCACCTTGGTTCTCTGCTGACGCAGTCCTCAATGTTTTGACCCATCTTGACAAGTCCTCTGGCTCTGGTCCGGATGGTATTCCATCTTCCTTTTTGAGGGAGTTTGCTGCCGAACTGTCGACCCCACTTTTTCTTATTTTTTCAAAATCCTTACTCGAAGGTACTTTTCCGCGCGCGTGGAAGACAGCTTTTGTCGTTCCAATATTTAAATCAGGGAATAGACAGTTGGTATCTAATTACCGTCCAATTTCTATTATCTCGTCTTTTGAAAAAATTGTTTGCGATTACTTTAACCACTCTATTGCTCACTCTCTCATTACTGAACAACATGGATTCTTGTCTGGCCGATCGGTTGAGTCTAACTTAGTGTCTTATGTTAATTTTATTCATTCTACCTTAAATGAGGACTCATAGGTTGACGCAATTTATACCGATTTCTCTAAAGCCTTCGACAAGATTGACCATGGAATTCTTATACAAAAGCTGTCCTTTAACATTCCTGCCGGAATTGTGCGCTCGATAATGTCATATCTTTCTGACAGAAGTCAGGCAGTTAGGATGGGTAGCTTTTTGTCGGACTACAAACCCATCTCATCTGGTGTGCCTCAAGGAAGTCACCTTGGGCCCACATTATTTCTAATTTACATAAACGACATTTCTTCTTGCTTTAAATTTTCCAAATTCCTGCTCTATGCGGATGATAATAAAATATTTACTAGAGTCAGCTCTAGTCATGACTGCCTAAGGCTCCAGGAGGACCTTGATCGTCTACATGATTACTGTCGCGTTAACAAACTTTATTTGAACTATGACAAATGCCAAAAAATAACGTTTACATGGAAACGCTATCCTATTAATTTTAATTACAACTTTAATGGTAGACCTATTATCTCTACTGACAGAGTGAAGGATCTTGGCATTATACTTGATGCCAAATTGAGATATCACCTTCACATCGAAGTCATGGTGGCGAAAGCCCTGCGTAACCTAGGGTTTGTTATCAGAATAAGTAGACAGTTTACCAATTTTACAAGCATTAAATCCCTTTATATGGCATTTGTTAATAGCGTATTATCCTATGGTTCCATAGTGTGGAATCCTATGTACGCGGTCTATCGTGATCGCATCGAAGCGGTTCAACGACGCTTTGTACGCTATCTGGCTTACAAATATCATCTTCCCTATTGCGATTACGATAGACGCTGTGTGGTTTTTAACTTATTATCCCTGCGGCAGCGTCGGCTAGTCTCAGACTTAATTTTTCTTTTCAAACTGGTCAATGGCTTGCTGGACGCACCTGATCTTCTGTCTGTGTTGAACTTTAATGTACCACAGCGTTTCACGCGGCGGAATACTACATTCCTTTTAGGCACATCGAACACGAACGCTCATCTAAACTCGCCTATCGTTCGGCTTTTGAATACTTACAATCAGGACTTCAACCATGTTACTCTATTTGGACTCTCGTTGCGCTCATTTAGAGAATTACTATTACGTAACGTTTAGTTGTTATCTTCTGTATTGTAGTACAATTATATAATATTTTTCGCTTTTTTTTTGTAATTTTTTTTTAATTAGCAACTATCAATGCTGTTATTATTATTTTCATAGTTAATGTTATAATTATTGTTATTTTTTTTTTCTTTTCTCGTTTTTTTGCTTGGTATGTAGTTAAGTGCTTTGTTTTTATGAGGATGCTTCACTGGGGATATCCTCCCTGTTTGTGTCCCAATAATAAATAAATAAATAAATAACTTGAAAGAGCAACAAATTCATAAAATTTTCATATTTTCGCATCTATCTCGATATTGACGTATCTAAGAACAAAAGTGCAAGAGAGCAATATTGTTAACAATAAAATTTGCTACAACTTTTGCGCTAAAAGTTTTTTTGTAACATGCTGCGATTCCTAAGGGTCACCATTAACAACTTGAAAGAGCAACAAATTTATAAAATTTTCATATTTTCGTATCTATCGCGATATTGACGTATCTAAGAACAAAAATGCAAGAGAGCAATATTGTTAACAATAAAATTTGCAACAATTTTTGTTATAAAAGTTTTCTTATAGCAAGCTCCGATTCCCAAGTGTTACCTTTAATAACTTGAAAGAGCAACAAATTCATCAAATTTTCATATTTTCGCATCTATCTCGATATTGACGCATCTAAGAACAAAAGTGCAAGAATGCAATATTGTTAACAATAAAATTTGCAACAATTTTTGTTATAAAAGTTTTCTTATAGCATGCTCCGATTCCGAAGTGTTACCTTTAATAACTTCAAAGAGCAACAAATTCATAAAATTTTCATATTTTCGCATCTATCTCGATATTGACGCATCTAAGAACAAAAGTGCAAGAGAGCAATATTGTTAACAATAAAATTTGCAACAATTTTTGTTATAAAAGTTTTCTTATAACAAGCTCCGATTCCGAAGTGTTACCTTAAATAACTTGAAAGAGCAACAAATTCATAAAATTTTCTTATTTTCGTATCTATCTCGATATTAACGTATCTAAGAACAAAAGTGCAAGAGAGCAATATTGTTAACAATAAAATTCGCAACAATTATTGTTATAAAAGTTTTCTTATAGCATGCTCCGTTTTCAAATGGGTCACACCGTATATATTTAATCTATGACCTATTCGGACATCGAATTTGAACCATCCTGTACAATACATCTTCAATTATGTTTAAAATAAGTTACTCGTCTTGAGCCCTCATCGTATTAACACGATCGTGAGGGTTAAAACAAAACTAGTCTTAGGCAATATCCTTTAATTTCGATTAACGTTATATTTAATTAAAAATATAATCAATTTGTTAAAAATAATTTGTCATGTCATTTAAAATGACAATTAATAGCAAAAAAAAAAAGTAGTTGGTAACAATGATGTAAACATAACCTACAAATTTAATTTAAATTAGTGATTACTCAAATTTCAGCCTCTACTTATATTTAGAACAATAAACATTCGTTTGAAAAGTGAATAAATAAAATAATTTTTGTGTACTCATCTAATTTTCAGGCGAAAATTCTCGGAAACTCTAAGGAAACAATATATATAACAATAAACCAATTTTATTTAAAACATAACTTCATTTTCCAACAAAACAGTATTTCAGAACTATACTTCCAACGTTTTTGACGAACGGCATAACCTCAAAATTTCTAATTTTAGTTTTATTTCTAACACAAAATCACTTAAATTTTTTTTTTAATGAAACGTCAAAATATGACACTTGATAAAGATGTATAGCAGATAGCGCCATCTGTCGCAAAAAGTTTAAAAATATACGTTAGTAACTATCTTCTCATCATATCAAATTTTCTAACTTAATTTAAAACCACGAAAAAGCGAATTACTATTTAATTTTTTTTATAACGTAAAACATGTACGAGTGACTAAAACAAGCCTTTATGACGCAAATTTCTTTTTAGTTTTATTTCTAAAACTAAATGAGTCAATTCAATTTTTTTATTGAAACGTCAAAAAAATGTCATTTGAAAAAGTGAGGTTACGTGTGATTAAGAATCATCATTTCGTGCTCTCGGGAGCGAGGATGAATAAGCGAGGAAAAGTGGGACGCCATAATGAAAATGGTAGATAGAGTAATACTTCCAACCCTTCATTACCCGATTTGTAAGATCTAAGGTTGTTTACAGATTCTTAATCACGTAAGTAATTTTGGATTAGATTTTGGTAGGTTAGAGATGGATTAGGCACTTGTTGGGTTGGATTCAGTTAATTTGGATTTGATTTTGCAGGATTAAAGTTGAACTAGGATTGTTTTTGTGTTGGATGAATAGTTTTGTATCTGATTTTGCTGAGGATGAATTAGATTAGGTTGTTTACGGGTTGGATTCAGTTAGGTTGGGTTAAAACAAAACCAACCTCAGCCAATATCCTTTACTTTCGATTAACGTTATATTTAATTAAAAATATAATCAATTAGTCATGTCATTTAAAATGATAGTTAATAGCAAAAAAAAAGCAGTTGGTAACAATGACGTAAACATAACCTATAAATTTAATTTAAATTAGTAATTACTAATTACTAAAGATAATCTAATTTTTAGGTGAAATATCCTCAGAGACGAAATATTGGTGTTTATTATTTAAATTTTATTTAAAACATAACCTCATTTTTCAACAAAACACCATTTCAGAACTATACTTTTTCGACGCCTCGCACCAAAACTTCACCCTCTCTTTATTCGGCTCAACCCCAACCTTAACTTCATCATTAAAAACTTCCAAATAATTCAAAGAATAATTCGTTTTCGCAACATCATCAAAATCATCGTTTTTAGCAAAATTAGTTAATAAAGTAACGAATTTTTTTACAGAACGATCTTCGAGGGAACCCTTCGAAAAGTTTTTCGTAAAAAAGCTTTTAAATAAATGCCCGATATCGTCGAAATGAGAAGCACCACGAACTTTAGCGACGTTTGGGAACAAATTTTTAATCCAATTAAGTTCCGTGTCCGAAGAAAAAACGTAAAAGAAAACCGTTTGATTTTGATTTAAATGTCCAAAAATCGTTTCGTGAATTGACCAAATAAAAAAGGTGTCCGAATTTAAATCAATTTCGTTTTGATCCGTTGAGTTAACGCGGTTCTTTTGGTTAAAATAAAATTGATTTAGATCATTTTCAAATTGGGGTTTGTTAATAAACGATTTTGGGATGTAATAGCTTAACGGTTTGAGATTAAATTCGGCGGTTTTTATTAAATGAAGTATTTCTAAAATTAATCCTTCTTGATTTGTTTGCCCGATCATTAAAGGGATCTTATTAAAATCGCCTTGTTTTAATAAATTTCTTGGGGAATCTGTCAAAAAGGTGTTATTATTATCAATATTATTTTCTGTGATGGGTCCAAAAAAATTCTCCTTCGAAATATGTGGAATAACACCTTGGATATCGTTTAAAACAGTTTTAAACGAATCCAAATTTAAATTTTGTAAAAATTCAACGATTTTAAACTCATTTGTGTCATTATAACCTAACATTTTTGCTAAATCAACTCCGTTATTTATTTTTCCATCACACCACGGCGCTAAACCAACTCCACTCATTATAATAGCTTTTTGGAAATAACCTTGAGACGCTTTCGAAATCGTTTGTAAATGTACCGAAGCCCCCCCGGCGCTTTCACCAAAAATTGTGACCTTGTTTGGGTCACCTCCGAAAAATTCGATGTTTTTTTTGACCCATTTCAGTGCCATTAATTGGTCTTTTAGTGCCGCATTTCCGGGGACGTCAACTTTGGCGTTTTGGAAGTTTAAAAATCCCAAAAAACCCAATCGGTAATTTATTGTAACCACAACGACTCGATTTGGGATTAAAAATTCTGGACCATAAAGGATATGTTGCCCACTTCCTTCAGTGAAACTTCCCCCGTGGATAAAAACCATAACGGGATTTAAATTATTTATTTCCGGGGTGTGTACGTTTAAATAAAGGCAATCCTCGACGCCTAAATATAAATTTTTTGATTGTTTTTGAAAGCACATTGGAAGATCTTCAAGGGCTTCTTTAATTCCGTTCCAGGATTTTGGTGGTTTTGGATCCTAAAATTGTTTTAATTAATTAAAATTCATTTGGGAGGAATTCAAGAATCATCGTGGCTTAAAAATCGACGAAAAATATGTTAAAAATAAAAAATTTAGATTAAAAGGTGAAATGTCAATTTTGAGTCGATAAAGTAGATGACATAATCGAGTCGATAAAGTAGACTTAATTAATATCGCATTATTAAATTAATTATTAATTTATAAATTAATTAAAATAATTATGAGTAAAAAAAGAACTCCTTAGATTAAATGATGAAAACCTGGTTTATAGATATATATCTATTAAAAAGAGTGAAAATGTTAACTTGATGTCGGTAATGTAGATAACATAATCGGGTCGATAAAATTATATCAGAAATGTTGACGTAATTTGTATCGCAATATTTAAATGACGAGATATTTCAAAAAGAAATTATTAAAAATAATGAAAAAGTTATTAAAAGCAATTAATTAAAAAGAAAATAATTAAAAAAACAAATAAAGCAATTCCATCTAGTGACATAATTTCAAACTTCAACAAAATATTAAAACGTCAAAATTAAGTTTACCAAGTTAAATATTTTCACACAAAAACCGATTAGAGGCGATTCCAAATTCGTTTAAAAGAACCGAACATCCATGTAAGTCGCATTAATAATTTCGATTGAACCGAGGAATCCCAAACGCCGTCCCCGAACACTAATAAACAGCAAATAAAATACCATTTACAACGAGAAGAAACGAAAATCTTCTTCGGAAAATGCCAGAATGGAATTTCTCACAGCCGTAAATCACAATTTTCTATCAGTCTCTATTAGATTATTACCCAACACGTACGTTCGGTAAGTTGTGATTTTTTTGCTTTGAGGTTATGTCGCTTTGTTATTACCTTACTTATGTTGCCAACGCCATCCCTTAGTCACTATTAAAACAATATTACTTAAAAAAGTACATCGTTAAAAGTAATTATTGAATGAAACGATATTTTAAAAGTAATTATTAAAAATAATTAATTAAAAAGAAATTAATTAAAAAATATTCAATAAACATTTAAAAGCAATTCCATCTAGTGACACAATTTCAAACTTCAACGAAATTTTAAAACGTCAAACAGAAACGTCAAAATTAAGTTTGGCAAGTTAAATATTTTCTAATTTTACACTTGCACCGTCACTAGGACTAACATTAGACCTAGAACTAGAATCATTCGGGATTAGCCGCACGTCTCTAAAGACGGCTAAACCCGAATGATTCTAGTTCTAGGTCAACTCAAAAATATAGAGACGTTTATGGCTTTCTCGATTTTTCCTTTGTGTAATTCTATACAGATACTATGTACATTTTATCTTAATAAAATAGTATTTATCCAAAAAGACTTACCGTTATTTTTACACTAAATCAAATTTAAAACACTTAAACGTCCCTTAAACAAAAAAAATTAGGTTAGAAATTATTGTTTGTATCGAAATACCTTGGTAATTTAGTTCTTATTTTGTTACCAACCTAAAATTTTTGACACAAATAAAAATATAACCCCAAATTATTTTTTTTTGCATTAAATAATTTAAATAATAATAAGGGTGAGGTAGGAAACGTAATATTTTTAATAATATAACCAAACCAAGTCATTAATTATTTTCTTTGAAATTTGTGCATAATCGTATTAAATCATAGGTGAGGTGAATAATAATTATAGAAATTTGTTTTTGTATTAACAAAATATTGTAAATATGTTATAATTCATTATGTATTGTTGACCGTTTACGTTTTTTATTGTACTTAATCCATATAAAGTCAATACGAAGTAATTTTGTAAAATTTTGACAGTGACATAACCTCAAATTTCATTTTTTATTAATTTCTTATTGTAATTCGCGTTTGTTCGGTTGAAACTATTGAAAACGAAAATCATAGCATGTCAAGAACGAAAACCATCCATCATATGGGAGTTTTGAGGAAGAATTGGACGAAAATCCGTAGATTAAATGTTTAAATGTATTTTTTGAAGCTGGACGTTGAAATGTAAAAGAAAATGTTTCAAAATCAGCAAAGCAAAGTTAAAGCAATAAAACTACAACATTTCATACATAAATATTGTTAAAATAGAAATTTCAATAATTTTTGATAAAATTTAATTGGTGACATTTGACATTTTAAAGTTGGCCATACCGGAGAAATTTAAATTGCGAATTTCATGTGTTTTGTTATATAGAACTAAAAACATTCAAGGTTTATTTGAACACATTTTTTATTTACACCATGAAGTTGTCCATTGTATGATAACTAACTTCCGATTAGAAATGTCAATCTCAATTTTGACATATTTGTAATCGTCGTGCAAAATCCTTTAAAATGAGCCCAAACATGATACGTTTAATTCCAATATTACTCGAGATATAAGCAACTTCCGGTTTGAAATGTCAATGTCATTTTGTTATATTCTTAATTTTTGTAAAATGTTTTACAATTTGTCACAAAAGCAAAAATATAACAAAAAAAATCAAAAATTAAGGTTGGTATTAATATTTAAAAATTAAATTACTATCTTTATTGTTGCTAATTTCGGGTTTATGTTTTTTATTCTAACTTTTTCGTTTTTTGAGATAAGTGTGCCATGTTTGGACTCATTTTGAAGGTTATTTTGTAAAGATTACAAATATAATAATAAAATTAAACTTGACATTAATACCTGAAAGTTTTTTTCCTTGCCGTACGTCGAAACTCTTTCAAGAAACATCAAAATTATTTTTCGAGTTATTTTTCTAGGTCTAGTGTTAGTTTTAGTTTTTAATGTATTTAGCGTTGCATGCAATTTCATCAACAAAAACTTCGCGTATCGATAACATTCTTAATTAACTTATTATAATATAAAATTTTAATTAAATATTCGAAACGTCAAATTTGACGTTTGAAATTGACAGTTTTAATATTACATTTTAGTGATTTTGTAAATTAGGAGAATTGACCTAAAAATAATTTAATGACAGTTAAAATTAAAAAAATTTTAAATTATTTTCTTTAAAAATCCTTAAACTTGAATGTTTCTAGTTTTAGTGTAGGTTCTACTTTTAGATGAATAAAAATGTAGAATAATGTAGCGCTGAACAACAGTTAAAAATAATGAGAGGAGATCATTCCAATACATGACGTTCCAAACCGGAAGTGATTGTATTTCCATTAATATTAATGTTAAATATGTCGAGTTTGGACTCATTTTAAAGGATTTTTTATGAAGTTGACAAATACGTCAAAATTGAAAGATAGAAGTTTTTGGTTTTTTGAGATTTTTGAAAATATAATAAAAAATTCAGAAATTAAGGTTGGTATTAATATTTAAAAATTGAATCTATCTTCATTGTTGCTAACTTCAGGTTTAATGTTTTTTTATTCAAACTTTTTCGTTTTTTGAGATAAATGCATAATGTTTGGACACATTTTAAAGGTTTTTTAATAAAGAATATATCACGAAAGAACATCATGAAGTTTTCCATTTGTCTATTATATGATAACTAACTTCAGGTGTGAAATGTCAACCTCAATTTTGACATATTTGTAATCTTCATTAAAAATCCTTTAAGATGAGTACAAACACGACATATTTATCTCCAATATTAATGCAGTTATAGTCAACTTCCGGTTAAGAATGTCAACGTCAATTTTGACATATTTGTAATCTTCATTAAAAATCCTTTAAAATGAGTACAAACACGACATATTTATCTCCAATATTAATGCTGTTATAGTCAATTTCCGGTTAAGAATGTCAACGTCAATTTTGACATATTTGTAATCTTCGTGAAAAATCCTTTAAAATGAGTCCAAACACGATACGTTTAATTCCAATATTACTCGAGATATAAGCGACTTCCGGTTTGAAATGTCAATGTCATTTTGATATATTCTTAATTTTTATAAAATGTGTTAATATTTGTTACAAAAAGAAAAATATAATAAAAAAAAACAGAAATTAAGGTTGGTATTAATATTTAAAAATTAAATTGCTATCTTCATTGTTGCTAACTTCGGGTTTAACACATTTTATTCTAACTTTTTTGTTTTTTGAGATAAGTGCGTCATGTTTGGACTCATTTTAAAGGATTTTTCACGAGGATTACAAATATGTTAAAATTGAGGTTGACATTTGTAACCGGAAGTGGACCATAACCGGTTTGAAATGTCAATGTCATTTTGATATATTCTCAATTTTTATAAAATGTTCTAAAATTTGTTACAAAAACAAAAATAAAAAAAAAATCAGAAATTAAGGTTGGTATTAATATTTAAAAATTAAATTGCTAACTTCCGGTTTAATGTTTTCTTATTCTAACTTTTTTGTTTTTTGAGATAAATGCATCATGTTTGGACTCATTTTAAAGGTTATTTTGTAAAGATTACGAATATAATAATAAAATTAAACTTGACATTAATACCTGAAAGTTTTTTTCGTTGCCGTGCGTCGAAACTTTCAAGAAACATCAAAATTATTTTTCGAGTTATTTTTCTAGGTCTAGAGTTAGTTCTAGTTTTTAATGGATTTAGCGTTGTATGCAATTTCATCAACAAAAACTTCGCGTATCGATAACATTCTTAATTAATACGGTTTAATGTCAATTAACAGCAAAAGTAAGTTATTATAATATAAAATTTTAATTAAATATTCGAAACGTCAAATTTGACGTTTGAAATTGACAGTTTTAATATTACATTTTAGTGATTTTGTAAATTAGGAGAATTGATCTAAAAATAATTTAATGACAGTTAAAATTAAAAAAATTTTAAATTATTTTCTTTAAAAATCCTTAAACTTGAATGTTTCTAGTTTTAGTGTAGGTTCTACTTTTAGATGAATAAAAATGTAGAATAATGTAGCGCTGAACAACAGTTAAAAATAATGAGAGCAGATCATTCTAATGCATTAAATACGGCAGAAGATTCTTTTGATGTAACGATACGGGGCAAGTATACAAGTTTCAACCTGAGCAGAATTATCCATCTACTCAATTTGAACTACATCGTATTCTTCTTTCAATAAAATGAAATAAATAATGAAAGAAAACCATTTTTGACAGTTCCTATTAATTTGCAAAATCAGTTTTTCTTGAATTTTTGCAAGATTCAAGCTGACCAGAATTTTTCATCAGTTTAATTTGAGCTGCAGCAAATTCCTCATCATGTTTAAAACAGCAAATATAAAAAAAATATATTCTGGCACTTTCTATTTGATTAAAAAAGCAGTTTTCTATAAATTTTAGCAAATTTCGGGTTGGGCAAAAACTATAATCAATTTAATTTTGAATTGTGTCACATTTCTCATTATTTCTAATACGATTATTTCATCAAATATGAAAAAAAATACGAAAAAATCTTTAAACACTTTTTTGCAAAAATACAATTTTTGCATTTTTTTTGTTGGAAGAATTCGCAGAAGACTAAGTGTTGCTAGTGAAAGACTAGATATAGAAAATGAAGCACATCTTTCTTACAGAAGACTACACATTACTACTAAAAAACGAAATACTGTTAGCAGAAGACTTAATTTTGCTGTCAGAAGACCAAATTCTGTTGTTAGAAAACTAGATATTACCAATGGTGCAAATCCTTCTCATAGAACACTACACAGTATCGCCAAAAAGCGAAATACTGTTGGTAGAAGACTAGATATTGCTGAAAAAGACTAGATATTGCTGGCAGAAGACCAAATTTTGTTGTTAGAAGACTAGATATTACCAATGGTGCAAATCCTTCTCATAGAACACTACACAGTATCGCCAGAAGACGAAATACTGTTGGTAGAAGACTAGATATTGAAGACCAAATACTGTTGGTAGAAGACTAGATATTGCTGAAAAAGACTAGATATTGCTGGCAGAAGACCAAATACTGTTGGTAGAAGACTAGATATTGCTGAAAAAGACTAGATATTGCTGGCAGAAGACTATGTATTGCTAGTGAAAGACTAGATATTGCAAATGAAGCACGTCCTTGTTACAGAAAACTACACACCACTACTAAAAAACGAAATACTGTTAGCAGAAGACTTAATTTTACTGTCAGAAGATTAAATTCTGTTGTCAGAAGACTATGTATTGCTAGTGAAAGACTAGATATTGCAAATGAAGCACGTCCTTGTTACAGAAAACTACACACCACTACTAAAAAACGAAATACTGTTAGCAGAAGACTTAATTTTACTGTCAGAAGATTAAATTCTGTTGTCAGAAGACTAGATATTACCAATGGTGCAAATCCTTCTCATAGAACACAACATAGTCTCACCAGAAAACGAAATGCTGTTGGTAGAAGACTAGATATTACTGAAAAAGTCTAGATATTGCTGACAGAAGACTAGATATTGCTGAAAAAGACAAGGTTTTGCTGAAATAGACTAGATATTGCTGACAGAAGACTAAGTATTGCTAGTAAAAGACTCATATTAAAAATACGGGACAAGCAAGCCTAGAGTTAAAACATCAGGTATAGATTTTAGGTTATCTTTAGTTATTACATGGTCCAAGCAGGTCGTAATCTTTTCTAGTAATATATAGCGCTCTGAAAGCAGTAAGTAGTCTTATGGAAGCAGTATCTCGTCTTTCCAAACAGTTTGTAATTGTTTGTTAGCACTATCTAGTCTTCTCCAAGCAGATTATAATCTTTTCCACCAGTATCTAGCATTTTGGTAGAAGTAGGTACCTTTTCTGGAGATCAGATCTCTTCTTTCCAAGTAGTTATTAGTCTTTTCCAGTAGTATTTAGCATTCTGGCAGCATTAGGTGGCATTCTGACATGCATATCTCTTCTTTCCAAGCAGTTATTAGTCTTTTCCAGCAGTATCTAACACTCTGGAAGCAGTAGATAACTTTTCGGAAAGCATATCTCTTTTCCAAACAATTATTAAAGTCTTTGAAAGCAATAAGTAGTCTTGGAAGCATTATTCCAAGTAAGTCAAAACCTTTAACAGCAATGTTTAGCGTTCTGGAAGCAATAGGTATTATTTTGAAAACAGTATCTAGTCTTTTCCAAGTAAGTTGTGATCTTTTTCTGCAATATCTAACATTTTAGAAGCAGTAGGTAACTTTTTGAACTACTATTTCCTCTTTCCAAGCAGTTTTTAGACTTTTACTACCAGTATTTAATCTTCCGATAGCAATAATTAGTCTTTTGCCAACAGCATATGCATTTAGTCGAAACTTTAAAGTGATTTTTCGGTAAGTTTTACACTTTTCTGCATTTGTAACGGCTTATTTGAGTGATTTCCCGCCGATTAAAAAAAAAAGATCAATTTTTAATGATGATTCTTGAATTAAACCTTAATTTATGTGTATTATTAACCTACCTTAAATCGATTTTCGCCTATTGGAGGCTCAGCAAAAGGAATTGATCGAAAACTAACAAAATCATTTCCATTTATATCTTGAAAAACTTGCCCTTTTAATTTCCCATCGCTAATTTCCACGATTGGGTTATTTCCAAAAGCCGATTTAACTAATAAAACGTAAATCGAAAAATTTACGAACGCCATCTCATCCTTTTTGTCTCCGATATAAAATTAAAGTTTCATTTATACACGTAACCCATTTCCGGTGTGATGGTTAATTACGGAAAAGGATTTTAGAAAAAAAATTTAGGTAATCATATGAAATTATCTAAATCGGTTTAAAATGACTTATAAATTACGCGAATGAGATTTTAACCGAAATAATAAGTGGGAATTAAAGGAATGTTGCTAAATGTTATAGTTTAAAGAATAATAATAAACTTACTTGTAATAAACGTCCTCCAAATTCGAATTGCGTGTTAAATCTCGATTCAAACCTACAAATAAAACATTATTTCAAAAAGTGAGGTTAAGCTTATTTTTTTTTTGACACTTCTTCGTTGACAATCAGAATAACCAACCCAAAAAAATTAATTATTTTTAATATTTAAATTAATTAATCTTTAGATCCTTTTTATTTAATTATTACAACACAATTAACAATAAATCGGCAACAAATAACTAAATTAAAAACAGGCGATTGTTATTATTTTCAATTCTATTAAATATTCGAGAATGAGACAAAAAAAAATCAAACTAAAAACACAATTAAAACCTAACAATAATTAAAAATGTTTAAATTTGGTGTTATTCGTGATAATTGCAACAATTTCAATATCGATTTAATAATTATCTGATTATGGAGTTGATACTTTTCTTATTTTGTACTGATTATAAAAGTTGAATATCTTTTTTAATAACAATTAAATAAGTTGGAATTAAAGAAATGTTGCTAAATGTTATAGTTTAAAGAATAATAATAAACTCACTTGTAATAAACGTCCTCCAAATTCGAATTGCGTGTTAATCTCGATTCAAATCTACAAATAAAATATTATTTCAAAAAGTGAGGTTAAGCTTACTTTTTTTTGACACTTCTTTGTTGACAATCAGAATAACCAACCCAAAAAAATTAATTATTTTTAATATTTAAATTAATTAATTTTTAGATCCTTTTTATTTAATTATTACAACACAATTAACAATAAATCGGCAACAAATAACTAAATTAAAAACTGGCGATTATTATTATTTTAAATTCTATTAATTATTCGAGAATAAGACCAAAAAAAAATCGAACTAAAAACACAATTACAACCTAACAATAATTAAAAATGCTTAAATTTGGTGTTATTCGTGATAATTGCAACAATTCCAATATCGATTTAATAATTATCTGATTATGGAGTTGATACTTTTCTTATTTTGTACTGATTATAAAAGTTGAATATCTTTTTTAATAACAATTAAATAAGTTGGAATTAAAGAAATGTTGCTAAATGTTATAGTTTAAAGAATAATAATAAACTTACTTGNTCTCATAGAACACTACACAGTACCGCCAGAAGACGAAATACTGTTGGTAGAAGACTAGATATTGCTGAAAAAGACTAGATATTGCTGGCAGAAGAACAAATTCTGTTGTTAGAAGACTAGATATTAACAATGGTGCAAATCCTTCTCATAGAACACTACACAGTATCGCCAGAAGAAGAAATACTGTTGGTAGAAGACTAGATATTACTGAAAAAGACTAGATATTGCTGACAGAAGACTAAGTATTGCTAGTGAAAGACTAGATATAGAAAATGAAGCACATCTTTCTTACAGAAGACTACACACTACTACTAAACAATGAAATACTGTTACTAGAAGACTTCATTTTGCTGTCAAAAGATCAAATTCTGTTGTCAGAAGACTAGATATTACCAATGGTGAACATCCTTCTCATAGAACACTACACAGAACACTACAAGACGAAATATTGTTGGTAGAAGACTAGATATTGCTGAAAAAGACTAAATATTGCTGACAGAAGACTAAGTATTGCTAGTAAAAGACTAGATGTATGTATGTATGCGATAGTGGGAGTACGTAATTTTAAGCGCGCACTTAGGCCCCAGTGCGCCTTGTACATTAATACAACTCATATTAAAAATACGAGACAAGCAAGCTTAGGGGTAAAGCATCAGGTATAGATTTTAGGTTATCTTTAGTTATTAGATGGTCCAAGCAGGTCGTAATCTTTTCTAGTAATATATAGCGCTCTGAAAGCAGTAAGTAGTCTTATGGAAGCAGTATCTCGTCTTTCCAAACAGTTTGTAATTGTTTGTTAGCATTATCTAGTCTTTTCCAAGCAGATTATAATCTTTTCCACCAGTATCCAGCATTTTGGTAGAAGTAGGTATCTTTTCTGGAAATCAGATCTCTTCTTTCCAAGTAGTTATTAGTCTTTTCCAGTAGTATTTAGCATTCTGGCAGCATTAGGTAGCTTTTTGGAAAGCATACCTCTTTTCCAAACAATTATTAAAGTCTTTGAAAGCAATAAGTAGTCTTGGAAGCAGTATTCCAAGTAAGTCAAAACCTTGAACAGCAATGTTTAGCGTTCTGGAAGCAATAGGTATTATTTTGAAAACAGTATCTAGTCTTTTCCAAGTAAGTTGTGGTCTTTTTCTGCAATATCTAGCATTTTAGAAGCAGTAGGTAACTTTTTGAAATACTATTTCCTCTTTCCAAGCAGTTTTTAGACTTTTACTACCAGTATTTAATCTTCCGATAGCAATAATTAGTCTTTTGCCAACAGCATATGCATTTAGTCGAAACTTTAAAGTGATTTTTCGGTAAGTTTTACACTTTTCTGCATTTGTAACGGCTTATTTGAGTGATTTCCCGCCGATTAAAAAAAAAAGATCAATTTTTAATGATGATTCTTGAATTAAACCTTAATTTATGTATATTATTAACCTACCTTAAATCGATTTTCGCCTATTGGAGGCTCAGCAAAGGGAATTGATCGAAAACTAACAAAATCATTTCCATTTATATCTTGAAAAACTTGCCCTTTTAATTTCCCATCGCTAATTTCCACGATTGGGTTATTTCCAAAAGCCGATTTAACTAATAAAACGTAAATCGAAAAATTTACGAACGCCATCTCATCCTTTTTGTCTCCGATATAAAATTAAAGTTTCATTTATACACGTAACCCATTTCCGGTGTGATGGTTAATTACGGAAAAGGATTTTAGAAAAAAAATTTAGGTAATCATATGAAATTATCTAAATCGGTTTAAAATGACTTATAAATTACGCGAATGAGATTTTAACCGAAATAATAAGTGGGAATTAAAGGAATGTTGCTAAATGTTATAGTTTAAAGAATAATAATAAACTTACTTGTAATAAACGTCCTCCAAATTCGAATTGCGTGTTAAATCTCGATTCAAACCTACAAATAAAACATTATTTCAAAAAGTGAGGTTAAGCTTATTTTTTTTTTGACACTTCTTCGTTGACAATCAGAATAACCAACCCAAAAAAATTAATTATTTTTAATATTTAAATTAATTAATCTTTAGATCCTTTTTATTTAATTATTACAACACAATTAACAATAAATCGGCAACAAATAACTAAATTAAAAACTGGCGATTATTATTATTTTAAATTCTATTAATTATTCGAGAATGAGACAAAAAAAAATCAAACTACAAACACAATTAAAACCTAACAATAATTAAAAACGTTTAAATTTGGTGTTATTCGTGATAATTGCAACAATTTCAATATCGATTTAATAATTATCTGATTATGGAGTTGATACTTTTCTTATTTTGTATTGATTATAAAAGTTGCATATCTTTTTTAATAACAATTAAATAAGTTGGAATTAAAGAAATGTTGCTAAATGTTATAGTAAATAGAATAATAATAAACTTACTTGTAATAAACGTCCTCCAAATTCGAATTGCGTGTTAAATCTCGATTCAAACCTGCAAATAAAATATTATTTCAAAAAGTGAGGTTAAGCTTACTTTTTTTTTGACACTTCTTCGTTGACAATCAGAATAACCAACCCAAAAAAATTAATTATTTTTAATATTTAAATTAATTAATCTTTAGATCCTTTTTATTTAATTATTACAACACAATTAACAATAAATCGGCAACAAATAACTAAATTAAAAACTGGCGATTATTATTATTTTAAATTCTATTAATTATTCGAGAATGAGACCAAAAAAAATCAAACTAAAAACACAATTAAAACCTAACAATAATTAAAAATGTTTAAATTTGGTGTTATTCGTGATAATTGCAACAATTTCAATATCGATTTGATAGTTATCTGATTATGGAGTTGATACTTTTCTTATTTTGTACTGATTGTAAAAGTTGAATATCTTTTTTAATAACAATTAAAGAAGTTGGAATTAAAGAAATGTTGCTAAATGTTATAGTTTAAAGAATAATAATAAACTTACTTGTAATAAACGTCCTCCAAATCCGAATTGCGTGTTAATCTCGATTCAAATCTACAAATAAAATATTATTTCAAAAAATGAGGTTAAGCTTACTTTTTTTTGACACTTCTTCCTTGACAATCAGAATAACCAACCCAAAAAAATTAATTATTTTTAATATTTAAATTAATTAATTTTTAGATCCTTTTTATTTAATTATTACAACACAATTAACAATAAATCGGCAACAAATAACTAAATTAAAAACTGGCGATTATTATTATTTTAAATTCTATTAATTATTCGAGAATGAGACCAAAAAAAATCAAACTAAAAACACAATTAAAACCTAACAATAATTAAAAACGTTTAAATTTGGTGTTATTCGTGATAATTGCAACAATTTCAATATCGTTTTGATAATTATCTGATTATGGAGTTGATACTTTTCTTATTTTGTACTGATTATAAAAGTTGAATATCTTTTAATAACAATTAAAATGATTAAGTTGGAAGATCTTTGCATATTTTTGCAGCCATTTCAACCAAAGGTTCCAATTCTTTCCGACTAACCAACTCAAACTCAGTCACAAAATAATAAAAATGTTTATAACACGTGTTTACGTGAGCCTCTGCAGCGATCGAAACGACGTTTTGAAAATGATGGATATAAACGTGGACGAAAACGCGATGTAACCTCGCTAAAATCTTACTACAAAGTGATTGAAAGCTTTTAGGGAAAGGCATATCAGAGGTGCACGGAAATAAAGCTTGATTATTGATTTGGGCCTCAATCCAATCCATTAAATGGCAAACATAATCTTTTGCAGGTAAAGGAGTCGGCTTTTTAAATCTAAAAAATCGTCAAAAAACATTTTTTTTAACCCCCATATAATAAATTAGCTCACTTATCACCATCAGCCCAAAGATACTCAAATCGAGCCCCACCGGTCATCGTGGGACAAGTCTCTTCTGTACAATACTCGGAAATTGTGCCATAAATTAAATTGATTCGATTAAAAAAATCAACAACATGAACTGCGATCCAATCGTTTAAATCTTCCCCAGGTGGTAATTTTACAGCCGTACGTAAATTTATACCCGAATTTAAACTGGCACAAGCTTGTTTATGTAAACTATAACGAATCGTACCGTGAGCGAATCGCTTCTTTGGCCTAAAAGTCTAAAATAAAGCGGATTTAATCCCCAACCTAACCTCACTTTATAATCACTCATGATTTAGGGAAATTACAACGTTATTTACCTTGCCCTTTTGAAAAAACTCGAAGAATCCGTTTAAAGCCATGACTAGAATCGACTTATCGAATTATTTAGAACCGGCAAATAATTATTTCATAAAAAAAATTAGTAAACGTCAAATTGAGAGGATAAATAATTTGACGTTTGGTGATGACAACATTACGCAACGAAATTTCCCTAATATTGTTAATTTAATAATAATAAATGAAATTTATTTAAATTAAATTTATTATTAATTCATTAAGTTTGTTTTAAATCGTAAATAGAAATGAATCGTTTTAATTTTTAGGTGTAAATTGTAACCAAACCGTTTTAGGTTGGTATTAATTTGCTCTTTTTAGAAAGAATCGCAACCAACCAAAAATGGCGGCATTGTTTGCGTTGTTTGTGCAATATTTTGCATTCGCGCAAAAATCCGAATCGATTTCGAATTAAACGAGCGAACTATCAAACGAAACGGGGCGATTTCGACGTCGACTGAGTCGATCTCGTTAAAATGCGTCGAGTTTATCTTATAAATCGGGCGAAATAAGTGCATTAGTGCGTTAGTTTGTGCAGGTGTCGCGAGAGAGGTTATTTTTTTTTCTTTCACTCTTTCTACGCCCCCAAGGAAGTGAAAGTGTAAGAAATCAATCGATCCCCTATAATGCCGAAACGATGGAAACGAAACTTTGTCGAATTTGCGGGAAATTAACTGATAACCACTCGGATATTTTCAAAACTGAAGGTTTAAAGGTTAAATTAGAAACATGTTTACCCATAGTGGTGAGTTTTAATCGTTAAGTAGTGATTTTCATTGATTAAATTAGTTTATAAAAAAAAATTTGTTATAAATTAAGAAACGTCAAAAAATGACGTTTCACATAACCTCAAATTTTCGTGAATTATAATGTCACTTAAAAATCGACATTTTTTTATAATCGACGGGACTCGATAAAGTAACGACTCGAGTAAGTCGTTACAAATAAAAAAAAAAGTGTAAAACTTACCGAAAAATCATTTTAAAGTTTCGACGTGACGTCACTTTTTGAGGTTATGTTAAACCCGACACTTTCTAGGTCTAGTTTCTAGTCTAGAACTAACACTAGACCTAGAACTATAAAGTTTCGGGTTTAGCCATGCGTTTTTAGACGTCATTTGATGTCTTGGACCAAGTCTACAGTAATTAAATGAGAAATTGTTGATTCTCACTTTTGCCGAGGTCGCTTGCGGCCGAGGCAGTGGTTGTGTAACAAATCCAACATTAAGTTAGTGAATATTATTAGCTCTAGCGCCTCGCCCGCAAGCGACCTCGGCAATATTAGACGGTATCGTGCTTTTAATGTCTTGGAAAGTGAACCAAGTGTACAGTCATTGAATGAGAAATCGTTTATCCTCACTCTGCCGAGGTCGCTTGCGGGCGAGGCAGTGGTTATGTAACTATATCAACATAAAGCTGGTGTATATTATTAGTTCTAGCGCCTCGCCCGCAAGCGACCTCGGCAATATTAGATAGAATCGTTCTTTTAGTGTGTTGGAAAATGAACCAAGTGTACAGTGTGTTAATTAATTATCGTAAACGACGTCATCATTGCAAGTATGCAACCAATATCACACTGAATATATTTGAATACGCAAATCGCGTATTGCACACCACTACTGTGATATTGGTTGCATACTTGCAATGATGACGTCGGGTACGATAATTAATTAACATACTGTACACCAATTGAATAAGAAATAATTTATCCTCACTCTGCCGAGGTCGCTTGCGGACGAGGCAGTGGTTATGTAACTATAGCAACATAAAACTGGTTTATACTATTGGTTTTAGCGCCTCGCCCGCAAACAACCTCGGCGAAGTGGAGAGAAAGGTCCACTTATTTAAGTAATGTACGTTTGATTTATTTGTCAAGACATGAAATGAACGATGCTATCTAATATCGCCGAGGCCGCTTTCGGGTGAGGCGCTAGAGCCAATAGTATACAGGGTGCGTTATTAGTATCCCGGCGGACGATAGTTGCTAAACCGTTTGAGAAAGAAAAAAATATTTTCTGCAAAAGTTGTTTAACTCACCACTTTCTATTACGTAAAATTATTTTCACCTATACAGGATGTTCCATTTAGGCGTAACGGAGAGTATGTAGATTTTTTTAAATGGAACATCCTGTATATCTTATCGTATTATGAATAGAATTAAATTTGTTTATACAACCGTATATGTTACTAACTCATAGCGTTCATAGTTCCTGAGATATTCGATTGTTTTTCCAAAATGTGTCCATTGCAGGATCTTTTTAAAACTTATGTAAAACAGACATTTTTTCCAATTTTTCCTTGAAATTATGTCAGATAATGGTCAAAGCCAGTAGGTAAATGATAGTATTCAAAGATATCAGATACACTATACAGGGTGTTTATAAAGCTTAGTTACTTTTGATGTTTTTCAAATGGCTTTTTTTTCAGTTTTTTAAATGGAATATCCTGTACGTTGTGTGCTACTTGAATTGCTCATCAAGTCCCCTTTAATTAATGATAAGTATGTCATATGTCTAACATTCAAGTGTCAGAATGTAATATAGGTAGTCTCCAAAGATCTGATAGTTGCTAAATATACTAAAATATCCCACCTGCCAAATAGAATGATCAGATTTACAACTCGACTTTATTCCTGTGAAGATATTTGGGTAATACAATTTCTAACTCGATTTATTTTCTAATGCCTCACGAGACCTTACAGGCGTATTATACACCTCATTTTTGATTTTGTCCCATAAAAAAGAATCTAAAGGTGTGAGGTCAGGTAACCTGGAATGTTTTAACCAAAATAAAGTAAACAATCTTATTTATAATGTACAATGGACATTGTACATTGTAAGTTACTATCAGCTACAGAACATTTAGTGTAAAAGAACAAAAAAATAAAGAAAAAAAAATGAAAGATCAAAAATAATTGCATTAAAGTTAATTGTTTGATCGCGTTTTTCTTTTAAAACTAATTTAATACAACTGTTGAAAAACACACCATTATTAAACAAGAACCACTGACTAAAGCATAGCAGTAATCATTCCTCGATAAATAGCAAATCAAGAGGGACATAGCGTAGTTTATATTATTAACCTAGCTGCTATGAGTCAATACATTTTCCGAAACTACTAAAACGTTAAAAAATAGCGAAAATAATTTTTTTTTCAAAAATTATAAGCGATCGTGAAAATTTTTTCAAGTAAAAGTTATGTGAAATTATGGTGTCTACCCAACTGAAGAAAAAAAATTTATAGATTTAAAGAAATAGCGAAATTAGTACTCACATCCGGTATAACCGGAAGTACAAAGACACTGATTTCATGTCGTAATAATCCGTTTTAACGGCCTAATTATGCATTCCAAATGGTTTTCTTATATCACTAATAATACAAAAAAATATGGGGGTGAGCCACTTCTGAGGGACACCCGGTATAGAATATATTGGATCTAGCAGGGTTCGACTGATTTAAATCATGATTTTAATCAAATGATTTATTTATTTTAATCAATGATTTAAATCAAAAACAAAACTGAAAATTAAAGTGCACTTTACTACAAAATTAAAAAAACATTTAATACAAAAATTAAGATTCATTGTAATACTTATACAGGGTTCCCCATAATAGACTACCCATTTTATTTTATTAATAAATTCCCTATGAGATAACTAAATAAGTTTTTCTCTGTGGGAATATCTTCTGTAGTCTTTGGGATTTAAGTTAATTATTAATCAAGTAGTCGCCTGTCACAAATAAGTTTTAAATTATTAATTATTATTATCGAGATAATATTCGATATTATTTTTAGTTTCGTCATTTTTTTTCAACATCTGTTTGAACTTTCATGGATTACTCAGTCCAACAACGTGTGTTTTGTGTAGAAACTTACATTAGAAGCAATTCGATAGAAGAAGTTAGGCGTGCANGTTAACTTTTCGAAATTTGGAACCACCATAACTTCATTTTTTTAAATGGCACCCCCCATATTTTATTACTTAGTCGTCTTCGGCGTCTCATTTTACATCTTTTATACTCCATATGTCCTATGCCTAATATTAATAGTTTGAGAAATAATTAGGGTTTTTTGAAAAATGCTCACATATCATATCGATATATATGTGTGCATTTTGTGAATTTTCAAATTTTTATTTTGGCCAGAATCCTGTATAGTTCTAATGGACTGGTCGTCGTGGATGATCCTGTATTAGTTTAATGTTGGTATTGTTAACACAACCACTGCCTCGGCCGCAAGCGACCTCGGCAGAGTGAGGATGGACGATTTCTCATTTAATTGCTGTACACTTGGTCCAAGACATTAAATGACGTCTAAAAACGCATGGCTAAAGCCGAAACTTAGTTAGTTCTAGCTTTAATTGTTATTCAATGCTAGATTGTTGCATATTTTTATTGAAATAAATTTAAAAATTAAAAAAAAACATTAAAAAAGTAATTCTGACATTATCGTCTGTCATTAAATTATTTTTTTATGCCAAAACACCTAATTTACAAAATCACTAAAATCTTAATATTCTAACACTGTCAATGTCAAACGTCAAAGTTGATATTATGTCACATAAAAATTAGTTCAATTTGATACCAACCTAAATCATTTCTATTAACGTCAAATTTGACATTAAAACTTAATTAAATTTAAATCAATTAAAATTAAGTTACATTCTTAATCCGTAATAAATTGGCATTGAAACATAAACGGCGAACGGTGTTTCGGTAAGTTTTTGATCCGGAATCTCATAAAAACAGATTACACTATCACTAAACCTAGAACTAGAATCATTCCGGTTTAGCCATCTTGAGAGATGTGCGGCTAAACCCAAATTGTAGTGGCAATGATAGGCAGCGCTAGTTAGCATAAGATATTATTTAGTAATAAAGAATACATCACGAAAGAACACCATGAAGTTGTCCATTTGTCTATTATACAGGTTGTGTCAAATGTCTGGAATATAGCCAATAACTTCGCCATTAGTGCTTTTAAAGAAAAATGTTTCAAATACAAGTTTCTTTATTAACCTTGGCGCATTTTTCGGCGTTATTAACATATGCATCCCATTTAAAATAACAATGTTGGTTGCCATAGCAACGAAACAAAGAACAATGTAAACAAGCAAGTATCGCCAAAAAATGCGCCACAATTAATAAAGAATTTTTTATTTGAAACATTTTTCTTTAAAATCACAAATGGCGAAGTTATTGGCTATGTTCCAGACATTTGACACACCTGTATGATAACTACCTTCAGGTATAAAATGTCAACCTCAATTTTGACATATTTGTAGTCGTCGTGAAAAATCCTTTAAAAAGAGCCCAAACATGATACGTTTAATTCCAATATTACTTGAGATATAAGCAACTTCCGGTTTGAAATGTCGATGTCATTTTGAAATAGTTAATTTTTATAAGAAGTCTTAAAATTTGTCACAAAAATAAAAATATAATAAAAAAATCAGAAATTGAAGTTGGTATTGATATTTAAAAATTAAATTGCTATCTTCATTATTGCTAACTTCCGGTTTAATGTTTTTTATTCCAACTTTTTTGTTTTTTGAGATAAATGCATAATGTTTGAACACATTTTAAAGGTTTTTTAATAAAGAATACATCACGAAAGAACACCATGAAGTTGTCAATTTGTCTATTTTATGATAACTAACTTCAGGTGTGAAATGTCAACCTCAATTTTGACATATTTGTAATCTTTATTAAAAATCTTTTAAGGTGAGTACAAACACGACATATTTATCTTCAATATTAACGAAGTTATGGTCTACTTCCGGTTAGAAATGTCAACGTCAATTTTGACATATTTGTAATCGTCGTGAAAAATCCTTTAAAATGAGCCCAAACATGATACGTTTAATTCCAATATTACTCGAGATATAAGCAACTTCCGGTTTGAAATGTCAATGTCATTTTGACATATTCTTAATTTTTATAAAATGTCTTAATATTTGTCACAAAAACAAAAATATAATAAAAAAAAAAAAAAATTAAGGTTGGTATTAATATTTAAAAATTAAATTGCTATCTTCATTGTTGCTAACTTCGGGTTTAATGTTTTTTATTCTAACTTTTTTGTTTTTTGAGATAAGTGCGTCATGTTTGGACTCATTTTAAAGGTTTTTTAATGAAGATGACAAATATGTCAAAATTGACGTTGACGTTTCAAACCGGAAGTGATTGTATTTCCATTAATATTAATGTTAAATATGTCGAGTTTGGACTCATTTTAAAGGATTTTTTATGAAGTTGACAAATACGTCAAAATTAAAAGATGAAAGATCGAAGTTTTTGGTTTTTTGAGATTTTTGAAAATATATTATAAAAAATTCAGAAATTAAGGTTGGTATTAATATTCAAAAATTGAATAGCTATCTTCATTGTTGCTAACTTCAGGTTTAATGTTTTTTTATTCTAACTTTTTTGTTTTTTGAGATAAATGCATCATGTTTGGACGCATTTTAAAGGTTTTTTAACATAGAATGTATCACGAAAGAACACCATGAAGTTGTCAACTTGTCTATTATATGATAACTAACTTCAGGTGTAAAATGTCAACCTCAATTTTGACATATTTGTAATCTTCATTCAAAATCCTTTAAATTGAGTATAAACACGACATATTTATCTTCAATATTAATGAAGTTATGGCCAACTTCCGGTTAGAAATGTCAACGTCAATTTTGACATATTCTTAATTTTTATAAAATGTCTTAAAATTTGTCACAAAAACAAAAATGTAATAAAAAAAATCAGAAATTAAGGTTGGTATTAATATTTTAAAAATTAAATTGCTAACTTCCGGTTTAATGTTTTTTTATTCTAACTTTTTTGTTTTTTGAGATAAATGCATCATGTTTGGACTCATTTTAAAGGTTATTTTATAAAGATTACGAATATGATAATAAAATTAAAGTTGACATTAACACCTGAAACTTTCTAATCTTTTGGGTCATATCCCATTGATGTTTAAGCCAAATAATAATTCTAAAATTTTTCCATTTTCGTTTTAGATATCAAAATACAGCCTCCTACCAGACACGATATGCAAGACATGCGTGGAAAACGTAGAATCATTCTACGACTTCATAAAAAATTGCTTACAAAGTATAATAATATTAGAAACTCAATTCGACATTCACGATTCTTGCTTAAAAAGCAAGCGGAAATCCGAAAAAGGTATCTCCGTTGGTTTAACAAACTCAATCGACGTTTCGATTCAAACGGAACCTGAATCTCTCGCCTCGGAACAATTTTCCCAAATCTCTCAAACAATCCAAGCGGCCGAAAGAACCTTGGACGATAACAAAATCCAAAACGAATCTAAAAATTTGGTGAATTACGAGATTTCCGACGATTCTAACCCGGCGTATTCGTCTCCGAGTCATAACAACCTCGATTTCCTCCACAGCTTTTTGATCAACAAACAATACTTTGACAATCACGAGAACAAATTGGTTAACGAGATAACCGAGAAATTAAACGGCAAGAGGAAATGCGACGAAATCCAACCGTATCGGGCTAAAATTTTTAAATACGACGTTAATAATCGTAGGAAAAGTCGCGTTCCGAAAAGAATCGAAGTCCAAAGTTTCGAAGAAAGTTATTCGAGCGGGTGGAACGAGCGAAATGGTGAACATGAAATCACCGATAAGGTAATTAGTTTTTAAAAATAATTTTTGGGGTTAATCGATGTGTTTTAGGACGCTTTTTTGGTGAAGTTACCCCAAATTTGTTTGTTATGCGAACAACAATTTGAAAATGCTTCGCTTTTGGCAACTCACGTTTTTGATACTCATGGAATTGATATGGCGCAAGTTATTGGGGGCGAAACCACGGTTGAAAGGAAGAAGAAATTGCCGGATTTAGTGAAAATAGCCGATTTGAAAAGTAATAAAAGTGATTTAAAAGGTTTGTTTAAAAAAAATAAATAATTAAGTGAGGTTATGTTGGATTATGTCATTTAAAATGTCACATATTTTAACAGTAATTGAAAAATTGCATAAATATGGCGATTTACTCTTAGCAACACAGTTGGTAACGAAAATTTTTGAAGCTCCGCCCATTTCTGTGACGTCAAGGCTTAGGTCGTCTATTTTTGACATGTTAATCCAATATAACTTCACTTTTCGTAGCGAATATATGGTAAAATTTAATTTGCCCTGTAGTAATAGGTATATAGAGTTGTACATAGGTTTTAAAGATATAGGGGTGCCTCAGGAATATTTACACGAGTTATTTAATTGCGCAAAAAGAGTTATTATTAGAATTATTTTGAATGAATTATGGCATAAAACATTTTAAACCAATGACAGCAAGATACTTACTAATACGAATACCCAAAGAAATAGTACATTAATATAAAAATAGTATAAATGAGCAGTTTGAAGAATTTATAAGTAAAAAATCGATAGTTTTTACAGACTCCTTAAGTGCAATTATCAAAACTGCGAATGTGGGCAATATAGGGATCTAACTCATATATTTTTTGCATGTAATAGAATTGAACCAGCTAGAGTTAACAAATTAATTATAAAAAGCATAAATTTATTTTTTTAAATAAAGTTTAAACGTCAATGTGACACAAATTCAATGTTACCAACTGTAACCAACTTCACAACAATTTGTCAAAATTTTATGAAACGTCATATTTTTCTTTACGAAAATTAATTAATTTATGCTTTAAGCTAAGTTTCCACATGCACGGATTACTGGCGCCAGTTTAGTGGCGCCAGAAGTTGTTTCCACATAAATGTTATAATTGTGTACTGTCACAGTAATAAAAATAGCGTTATGCAAAAATGACTTACTTCTACCGCGAGTAAACACGCCAACAAAGTTGTCATTTAATGACGTTTGAAGAAAAATACTGTTACTGGCGCCAAAAAGTAGAAATAGCGTCAACTTTATTGGCGCTATGATTACTGGCGCCAATTTATTGGCGCCAGTGGTTTTTTGCTATTTCCACATGCAAATGAACTGGCGCCAGTAATCCATGCATGTGGAAACTTAGTTTTAATCATAGGAAAAAAAGAATTTGTTTAGGTTTTTTTAACGTCAAACTTTTAGAAAGCCCTAAAAAATCAACTAAAAAATTAAATTAAATCGACCATGGTAACACCGTGGATAAATCACCATGGCAACGGCATGTTAAAAGCCTATTCACAACATTTACGTACATTTTTCTACCGATGTAATAAGAAATAAAACTAAAACTAGACTTTTTTTTTAATGAAACGTCAAAAAATGACACTTGATAAAGACGCATAGGAAATAGCGCCACCTGCCGAAAAAAGCCTTAAATATACGTTTGTAACTATCTTCTCATATCAAATATTTTAATCTAATTTTATTTAGAACTACGATAAACATGAATTACTATTTGATTTTCTTTATAACATAAAACGAGTACGAGTAATTAAAATGAGCTTCTATGACGCAAATTCCTTTTTAGTTTTAAATCTAAAACTGAGTAAGTTAAAGAATTTTTTTTTTAATGAAACGTCAAAGAAATGTCATTTGAAAAAGTGAGGTTAGGTTGCGTTGGAAAAGTGTGATTAAAAATCCTCAACATCATTTTCTAGTCCAGCTTTAAACTGACACGGCCGTTGGAATAAGAAATAAAACTAAAACTAGAAACTTGTCTTTGACTCACGACATAACCTCAAAATATCTGTTTTCACACACAAGGCAATTTTGAATTTGACGGTTACGTTATTGATCATTCGACAGTTTCATTTTATTTTATTTATAATTATATTATTATTTATATTATTACTTTTGTTAAATTATATTTTATAATAAATACACTCATAACTTCAATGTTAATTTGTATGTTTAGTGTTGACGATAACAAACGAAAATAAATACACTAATAAGTAATAAAATAAATAATAATAATTATTAATTTAAATTTACCGCTAAAATATCTAGTGATATTTTCTGGTGATATTTCTTAGTATAAATTTAACTTTCGGATTCACTCCTCCTGGTTAAAAACAGACTAGTTTTTTTTTAATGAAACGTCAAAAAATGACATTTGATAAAGACGCATAAGAGATAGCGCCATCTGTTGCAAAAAGGCTAAAAATATACGTTGGTAACTATCTTCTCATCATGTCAAATATTTTAACCTAATTTAGAACCACTATACACACAAATTACTATTTGATTTTCTTTATAACGTAAAACGTGTACGAGTGATTAAAACGAGCTTCTATGACGCAAATTTCTTTTTAGTTTTAAATCTAAAACTGAGTGAGGCCCGGTATATTCATCTGCCAGTAAACTGTTAAGTAACTACTTGTCGGTTGTATTTACTGGTAAGATTAAATTCAAGTCCAACCCAACCCAACGTTTTCAAAACAAATAATACAACATACCATCTCCCTCGTGAAACAAAAGTATATGGTCAATGCGTGCATACGACAAGGACAGATAACAACATAAACATTTAAACTTAAATTTTCAAAAATGTTTACCCCTAACCTATCATTCAAAGACAAGGAAGAAAGATTGTTGAATTTTTTTTTTATAATTAAAAATTGAAAATTATTGCAAAATAGATGATAAAATAGTAAACTGTAAATTTTTAAAATAATCAAGAAATGGTCTACGAGAATTATTTTCTACATTTTCGTTAATTTCAATATTCTTAACATCGTAATCTTCATCTTGGTTAGGTATTTCATCTTTATGTGAGGCAATGTTGTGAAGGATAGCTGTCGCTACTACAATTTGTTGAGCTAACTGCAGATTATAACGAACTCCAGAAGATAATTAGATATTATTTTATTAGTTATTATTATTCAAGCGAAAATGATTAAAAAATTCTACATAAACCATAGCGGTGAAATGATTAGAATGTTCAAATCTATTTCGAGTATTATATTGACGACGCTCCGTACAATATTTTCAATAATATTAATTTCTTCTATAAGAATATCGTCAATAATGTCTTCTTACATTTTATCACATTTTATTTAAAAAAAAAACAGACAAATCAACCAAAACCAACATGACAACCTATTTGTTTATACGTCAGATTTAATTTAATCTGACGTATAAATCTTTACTGATAAGAATTTGCCGCAAGTAAATTAACCCTCTCATTAACGGACAGATTAACTTTACCAGGAGGTGAATATACAATTATTCTTATAAGTAAGTCTTATTCTGTCAAGTAACACTAACAGACACTTTACTTGGAGATGAATATACCGGGCCTGAGTTAAATAAAGTTTTTTAATGAAACGTCAAAAAAATGTCGCATTTGTAAGAATGAACATTTCGTGTTCGCGGGGGCGGCCGATGTCTTCGAAAACGGCCGTGTTAGCATAAAACTCTGCTGGAAAATGTGTTATTTTTATTTATCTATCTGTTCGTCCCAACCTACGAATAATAACCTCAAAATTTCTAGTTTTAGTTTTATTTCTAACGCAAAATGAGTAGAATACTTTTTTTGAATTAAAACGTCAAAATAGAATGTCATTTGAAAGTGAGGTTAAGTTGTGTTATTAAAATGATGTTAGGAATCTTCCACATCATTTTCTAGTGCCAACACGGCCGTTTTCGAGACCATCCCAGACGCTACAACATTAAGAACCTTCAGTTTTGGGGGCGGCCGACGTCTCCGAAGTCGGCCGAGTTCACTTTTTGTTATAAAGTATATATACAATAATAACAAATTCATTAAAAAAGTTTTAATGTACTTACTCTGCCTTAAAAATTGTGTTTCAGTTTCATTTAATGCGAAAATTGTTTAAAATAATCGTGATAATTTTGATGAAACTTTCTCTTAATGCAACAAGTGGTTTTTAATTAAAGATGTCGGCGCTTGTTCGTAAATCACCATGGTAACGGCAGGGTAGAAAACTTTTAAACACAAAATTATTTTAATCACAAAATTTTCATAGACTTTTTTACCGATGTAACAAGAAATAAAACTAAAATTAGAAATTTTAGGATCGAACCTCAAAATTTCTAGTTTTAGTTTTATTTCTAACGCAAAGTCACTTAAATAATTTTTTTTTAATGAAACGTCAAAAAATGACACTTGATAAAGACGCGTAGGAGATAGCGCCATCTGTCGCTCAAATTTTATTTGAAAAAGTGAGGTTAGGTTGTGTTGGAAAAGTGTGATTAAGAATCCTCAACATCATTTTCGAATACCAACGCGGCCGTTTTCGAAGACATCGGCCGCCCCCGGGCGCTAAAACTGAATTAAATTTCTATTCGCATTTGTAAGAATGGACATTTCATCCCCTCAGGGGGCGGCCGACGTCTTCGAAGTCGACCGAGTTTACTTTTTGTAACTGCTTCAAGCGAGATGGCTTTTTATGAATCGCAAAGATTTTTAATATTAATGAAACGTTAAAAAAATGTCATTTGAAAAAGTGAGGTTAGAAATCATCAACATCACTTTTTAATACAGTTTTAAACCAACACGGCCGTTTTCGAAGACATCGACCGCCCCCGGGCGCTAAAACTAAGTTAAATCTCTATTTGCATTTGTAAGAATGGACATTTCGTGCCCTCAATCTAACCTCACTTTTCCAAGTGACATTTTTGTCGGTTCATTAAATAAAAAAAATTATTTTACTCACTCAGTGCGTCCTCGAAGATTTCCTTTCATATTAACGGTTCATAACCCTAAAATTTCTAGTTTTAGTTTTATATCTAACACAAAATACTTAAATAATTTTTTTTAATGAAACGTCAAAAAATGACACTTGATAAAGACGCGTAGGTGATAGCGCCATCTGTCGCAAAAAGTCTAAAATTGTACGTTTGTAACTATCTTCTCATCATGTCAAATATTTTAACGTAATTTAGTACCACGATAAACACGAATTACTATTTGATTTTCTTTATAACGCAAAACGTGTACGAGTGACTAAAACGAGCTTCAATTTCTTTTTAGTTTTATTTTTAAAATTAAGTGAATTCGAATTTTTTTAAAGAAACGTCAAAAAAATTTTATTTGAAAGAGTGAGGTTAGGTTGTGTTGGAAAAGTGTTATTAAGAATCCTCAACATCATTTTGGAATACTAACACGGCCGTTTTCGAAGACATCGGCCGCCCCTGGGCGCTAAAACATGAAAATCTTGAGTTAAATCTCTTTTTGCATTTGTAAGAATGGAATCAATCTAACCTTACTTCTCCAAGTGACATTTTTTGTCGATTCATTAAAAAAAATAATTTATTTTACTCACTCAGTGCGTCCTCGAAGATTTTCTTTCATATTAGCGGTTCATAACCTTAAAATTTTTAGTTTTAGTTTTATTTCTAACACAAAATCACTTAAATAATTTTTTTTAATGAAACGTCAAAAAATGACACTTGATAAAGACGCGTAGGAGATAGCGCCATCTGTCGCAAAAATTATTCATTAAGGTTAAGTTATTCATTAAGGCATAATTAACTTGAGTGAATTAATAAGGCATTCTCCACGATTATTAAATTTGATTATATAAATTAATTTTTTAAGTAAATTTTTAAATAAAGTTGTAAACAAATTTAATGTTACCAATTTATGGAACCAACTTCACAACAATGTGTCAAAATTAAATGTCAATTTAGTGGTGAACAAAATCTATTACATTTTATTTTTTTTACTTTTAGATTTTGAATACGAAGAATCTCAACAATCGGAGAATCATTTATGCTCGATTTGCTCATTAGCGTTTCCAAATCAACAAGATCTTTACGCCCACATCCAATCGTTGCACGCAAAAGATTCCTCCTCGTTAATTTGTGGGTTATGTTCTAACATTTTTAACTCCCACGCAAATTTAGCGTCTCATATCGAAATTTGCCGCACGAAACATTCGATAGAAACCCGCTACATCTGCACGGTGTGTTCTTTTAATGATGATAACATCAAAACGATCGAGAATCACATCGCCGGGCACGAATCCCTATTGGAATATTGCAAAAAGAACCGCAAAATCTTCGATCCCAACGATTACGTCGAAATTAATAATTATTTTAATAACTCGATTAAAACGTATGTATGTGGGGAATGCAACGAAGATGGAAAGATGGGAAATTTCGATAGTTTTAAGGAATTTAGCGCGCATAGGAGATGTCAACATCAAATATTTCACTGCGATTTATGTAATAAATTTTATGGGAGGAATTCGCATCTTTGGAAACACGTTAATAGGCTCCATAAAGGGCATCCTAGCGTAACTTGTTTGCTTTGTAACAAAACGAGCGCTTCGAAATATCATTTATCGCAACATTTCAATAAAATTCATTCTGCGAAGAATTACGGGAAAAATTTTAACAAAATCGAGGTGAATTCGAGCGACTCAAACGATTTTTTAAAGAAGAAATTCGAAGGATTCGATTTCCAATCGGTTAAACAAAGCTTTTTGAAGCAAGAATTATTGGAGCAACAACAATTGTTAGTGATGAGCGATGATGATGAAGAAAATGAGATAATCGACGATGATTTACCGAAAGAAGTCGATATTTCTAGTAATTTGTATACAAATATAATCACGAATTACACCCCTCCAAAAAATGAGGGCGAATATAAATGCTCGAAATGTTTTCGCGGATTTTTGCGAAAAAATGTATTAAAAAAACATAAAAAAAATTGCCGCCCTAAGAACCAAAAGGATTTATTAACTCGCTGTAAAACGTGTACTAGGATTTTCAAAGATCGACAAAGCCTCGCGAAACATTTAATTAATTACCACACGGATTACGATTGCGAAATTTGCCAACAAAAATTTCAAAGCAAATGCGAGATCGTCTCGCACATCCGATTTTCACACCCTAAGTGTAAACTTTATTGTTATTGCGGAAGCATTTTAAGAAACTCATCGGAATTAAACACCCACAAAAAAGATCACCGAAACTCCTTTATTTGCCACTTTTGCGGGGACAACCTCCCAACTAAAATTAAGCTAAAAATGCACATCTTAAGTTTACACCGAAAAATTTTAAGCTTAAGTTGCGGGATTTGCCTCAAATTATTCGAAACTCAACACATTTTACGCGACCACGTAAGATTAGCCCATAAAGAACGCTTAAAACCTTTAACATCATGCACAGTTTGCGGGAAAAATTACGGATCGAAATGGAAAACTTTCGATCATTTAAATAAATCACACGGAAGGATTTTTAGACCTTGTCGAATTTGCTTAGAAGTTTTTAACAACGAATCGGAACTCCAAAATCATTACGATTTCATTCACAGCGAGTCAAAAAATAAATCAACCGGGAAAAACGAAAACGATAACGAAAATAATGAAGAAATCGATTTAATTTCTGATAAAAAAATCATCGAAATCGATCAAAACGATGCGAATAAAAAGGAAATTGAAGATGATGATGAAGAAGACGTAAAAATGTCGCTGTTGGAGAAACGATTAACATCGGGGAAAAAAACCGTTTCGAATAAAAATAAAAACGATAAGAAGGATGAGGAAATTGCGAAAAGTTATGGGGTCGAAGAGGGGTTTCAAAATACCTCAAAAAGAACGGTTTACGTTAATAGCGATGTCCCGTCGAGGTGCGAAATTTGTTTGAAAACTTGGCCCGCCAAAAAACATCTTTGGCAACATTATATTCGGTGAGTAATTATTTATAATTTTACATAACCTATAAATACGAAACGTCAATTATTAATTATTAATCGACCAATTACGAATTTAATCCAAAAACGAGGTTATAATAGAAAATTGAGTTTATCTTGAGATATTTAAGATTATTTCAAGTTTTTGTACTTACTTGTGGAAATAATCCGAGTTCGCAATTACTAATTCAAACGATAGATGGCGCTAGTTGGATGTTAAAATTTAAATGTTTGCGGAATAATCTTGCGATGAATAACAATTAAAAACTAGAACTTAAAACGTTTTTAGACGTCATTTGATGCATATTTGACTAGTTAAATGAGAAATGGTTGTGTAACAATACCAATATCCTACAAAATAACGTTAACCTCAAATTTAACTGTCATTTTATTATTTTTTTATGTCAATTCACCTAATTTACAAAATCACTAAAATACTGCCAATATCAAACGTCACTTTGACATCTAAATTTTTTTTAATTACACTAAAATTGATTTTGAAACTTAATTAATGTTTTTAATGCTAGTTTTATCTTTATCAAAGTAAAACTAGAACTAATACTAGACAGTGGAACTAATACAGTGTCTTTAGTTATTTGAATTCGAAATTGCAAAAAAAATAAATTTCAATGAAATTTTTTTGTTTTCTTATGGTTAAAATAAGTCAATAAACACAAATAAAAACGAAACGTTGCGTTAAAATGCCGGATAATAACGAATAAAATTAATTTGACGTTTACAAAGTGAGGTTAGATTTTATCTTTGTGCATAATCACGTGGGAAATTAAAAATCCTTTAATTTGAGTCCAAACACGACCCAATTATCTTAAAAAACACCCGAGATATCCAACATTTAATTTTAACATAACCTTAAAAAAGTGACAACCGGAAGTTTGTTGTCTTTTAAGATAACTCGACCGAGTTTGGGCTCATTTTAAAGGAAATTTAATGTAGATTACGAATACGATGTTAGATTAATCAAATTCGATTGTAATAAAAACATAATGGAAGCTGATTTAAAAAAAATGGTTCGATTTCAACGAATTAAATTCGCTGGCTATTTTTAGATCTAGAAATAAAGAATTTTATTATTCTATGGACGTCTATTTTTGTGACACACAGTGAAATACGCTGTATAAATAAAAACATAGAAATGTCAATTTTTCCAATGACGTCACAAGGTCTTTACGGGTGGGATACGTTCATGTATGTTTATTGAACGGACCTTGGTTTTAACGTCAATTTTAAATGTCAAAGCAAAATTGTTACCAACCTCAATCGCTAAAATAACTGTTATTTTTTGAATGATTTAAATTTAAATAATGTAAATTAATATAAAAGTACTATTTTATGTTGCATTTTGTTCTTAATGTTGTGCTTTATCTTGTTTTTACACTACATGGAGCATTTTAAATTTGTAATTGTTTATTTTATATTTTTGACAGCGTTTTGAAGTTATAGGTTATGTTATTGTCATCCAATTCGTGTCTTTTGTGTTGTAAACCTATTTTGATCCAATAATTGAATGAAATCAGTTCTTTTTAAAACATAATATAGATACTGAAGATAGTAGTAACTCAGAACAAGGTGAAAAATAACCTAAATTAGATTTTGGACCCTTAACTTTAATTGATGCCAAAAACTCAATGAAAATGATTGATAATATTGTTAATAAAATTGTTGAGGTTGGTGGTAAGATGACCTTATACAGTATGTTTACTCAACGGACCTTGGCTTGCGGCATAATCTAACGGTGAATAACAATTAAAAACTAGAACTTAGAATTTAAAACGTTTTTAGACGTCATTTGATATCTTAGACTAGTTAAATGAGAAATGTTTGTATAACAATGCTAATATCCTACAAAATAACGTTAACCTCAAATTTAACTGTCATTTTACTATTTTTTTATGTCAATTCACCTAATTTATAAAATCACTAAAATACTATCAATATCAAACGTCAATTTGACATCTAAAACTTTTTTAACTACACTAAAGTTGATTTTGAAATTCAATTGATACTTTTAATGATAGTTTTAGCTTTAATTTTAGATATCTTGTCCTTTTTGAGTATTTATCTAATCTCACATTCACTTATTCTATTTTACTCATTTAACTACTTCTTGCTTACTCTAATTTATCATTGATACCATAGATGGCGACACTTGTACATAAACTTCAACACACTCCTCAATGGTAAATCCAACCAGTATTTTATAATTTATTTAAGAAACAAACTTAATTCTAAATTAGCGATCTTACAAAGAACTTAAACTAATTGTAAGCCACATTTTAAATTAAAATTATTAAACAATGTTACACGTAATAATAAATATAATGGTTTGGTAAGGAAATAAGCTAGTCTAGTTGCATGTTGGATGGTATGTATTTTAAAGTCGCAACATTTTCCTTAACCTTATTTCGTATAAAATGTCTATGTGTCTTCCATCATTTCAATTAGTTTATCATCGTTTTCTGGCTTGGTCTTTTCTGGTAAGAATATTACGTATCTGAGTACTTCTATTCTGCTTTTATGAGGTATATAGATTCTGTATCGCTTTTCATCTTCTCCATATCCAACAAATATTCCTTGTTTACCTTTAGGATCCCACTTGAGTCTTATTTCTTTAGGAATATGTACAGGGTGGTTCAAATTCGATGTCCGAATAGGCTAACTCGGAAACTATAAGAGTTAGAAAAAAAGTAGCTTACATGTCATGATCTCGTTTTTCGAGAAACTGCTAATGCCGAAAACCTCATAGCGCTATCGTCTTTTGTTTTTCCGCTAGAAGTCAAAATTGAAAATATCGTAAAACCAATAAGTGCAATTATCTTGGTTATTATTATAGGTGGAGTATTATAACTAAGACATTATATGGACACTTTTTTATAGAGAATTTGATGACGTAGTCAAAAAAATTTTGTCGGTTTTAGTTTTTGAGATATTATCACAATTTTCGTTTTTTTAAATGGAAACAACCACTGATTATTCGCTTAATAAATTCGTTATTTTTTTCTGATTACAAAAATATAGGGTTTGACAAGTCTATTTCTTATTCTTTTAGAATAAAACTAAAAATAAACTTTTCTTTTAGTGTCGTCGAAGAAATTAAATTTACAGTTTCCTGTAAATTATAACTAAAAATTAAAAAAACATATTTCTGATATTTGAAACAAATATATATGTTGAACTGTTTGATTTATATGTTTTACATAAAAGTTGGAATAGATTCAAATAAACATAGCAACATTTGTTTGTATTCAAAAATTTTCTGAAGTGTCACTTTAAAAATCCTGTTTTTAAGATGATTTGCAAAAATTTTGAAAAGTTTGACATGTTAGAATGTTACATATTAAAAAATTATTTGTTTTTAAATACCAGAAGTTATCTTCGTATTTAATTGTTAACTTTTTAGATTTTACCTATAACTTACAGGAAACTGTAAATTTAATTTCCTCGACGACACTAGATGGAAATTTTATAAAAAAAGTTTATTTTTAGCTTTATTCTAAAACAATAAGAAATAGACCTATCTAACCCCATATTTTTGTAATCAGAAAAAAATAACGAATTTCACTTCACTTCAGATTTTAATAAAGTAAACATACCTGTATGAGGAATAATCGTCCTTCAGGAGAAGAAAGTAGAGAGCGCTTCTCAGGGATGGATTTTCCAACCAGGCAGTCCTCACATACAAAATTTTTTTTAATATCCACAAATTCTATTTTATTTTTTCTCAAAAATTCTCTGACATACCAAATATTCTGGTGAGTCAATTTGCAATGCCAACCTTTTAATGTGTCTACTGTTTTTGTTTGCATACATTGTGATGAACATCATTTTATACAATTTGTTTTCTCTTATAGCTACAGCTCTAATATTACCACCTTTATCCATAAATTGGCATCTCATATCATCTGAAGTCATAAAGTATAGAGCACATTTGAGACAGTTGTTTCAATCAGTTTTTTATCATTGTAGGCCCAACTTAATCCCTAACTGAACTATTTTCCTTCTTTTTAATTTACTAATGTCTTTAAAAAGGTTTCTGTCCTATGAGATGTGTGCGCTCGCTCCTGAATCGAGACACCACTCTCCTTGCTTTTCATTTTATCTGTATATATATATATATAGCATTTATACTATGAATACATACTATATCTTGAAGGCATTTGTCACATCTTTTTCCAAGTTTAATTTTGATGAATTACCTTCACGTCCTTTGTTTTTAAACCAGCAACTCTGTACTGAATGGCATGTTCTCTTGCATGCTTCAAAGAACTTTTGACCTGTTCTTAGATTTTTTGATTCTACTTTATTTTTCTTTCTATGGAAGCAATTTTTTGTAATATGGTTTTGTCTTGGAGCAGATATAACACTGTCGTGGTGGTTGCTAAAGCAGTAATATTGTTTTCAAAGGATGTGAGTTCTTTCAAATTTTGTTTATCCACTGGCACAGATTCCCAAGCGGATCTTTGTTTTTATATCTTCTATTTTTGATATAAAGGTATTCACCGTACTGTCCAATTCGAGAATGAAGAATCTTTGCTAAATGTTTTTAGTTTTGTCTATTTTCCTTTGCTGTGTTACATGATAAAATATGCGTCAATGGGTCTTGTTCTATTCTTGTAACAATTATTTCCTGAGCTTTGGCATCTTCCTTGATCCATTTTGTTAATTCCTCTCCGTTTGTTGGTTTTTGCTTTGATCCATCTACAATCACAAAAAGACCAGCCCTATAATACTCAATTATGGTTATTTGGAATTTCCATACCGGCCAGTTTTCTCCAGTGAGTTTTAAAACGGGGCCCCTAACCTGTGGTTTTATGTCCGCAGAACGTGGTTAGCAAAAACAGGGAATTGTCCTTTTTGAATATTTATTATTATTATCTCCTTAACTTTAACACAATCTCACATTCACTTATTCTATTTTACTCATTTAACTACTTCTTGTTTACTCTAATTTACCAATATCCTACAAAACAACATTAACCTCAAATTTAACTGTCATTTTATTTTTTATGTCATTTCACCTAATTTACAAAATCACTAAAATACTGTCAATATCAAACGTCAATTTGACATCTAAATTTTTTTTAACTATACTAAAATTGATTTTGAAACTTAATTAATGCTAGTTTTAGTTTTAATTTTAGATATCTTTATCAAAGTAAAACTAGAATTAACACTAGACCTAGAACTAGGGTGTTAGACTTTGAGATATCCTGACAATTTTCGTTTTTTTAAATGAAAACAACCACTGATTATTCGCTTATTAAATTTGTTATTTTTTTCTGATTGTAAAAATATAGTGTTCGGCAAGTCTATTTCTTATTGTTTTAGAATAAAGCTAAAAATAAACTTTTTTTTAGTGTCGTCGAAGATATTAAATTTACAGTTTCCTGTAAATCATAACTAAAAATTAAAAAAAAAACATGTTTCTAATATTTGAAACAAATACATTTGTTGAACTATTTAATTTATATTTGTTTTACACAAAAGTTGGAATAGATTGCATTATTTCACATTTTTTATTAATATTTAATATTATTATTAAATGACTTAATAGATTATTGATAGATGGCGATCATATATTTTTTTTTAATTCAAATAGTGTCAAATTAAAAATCCTGTTTTTTAAAATAGATTACGAAAAGTTAAAAATGTTAGAATATACATATTAGAAAATAAAATAAATTTTGTATAAGTTTTTAGTAGAATAATTTTTAGTTATAGTATCATCATTTACAGGAAACTGTAAATTTAATTTCTTTGACATCACTAAAAAAAAATTTTTTTTAGCTTTATTCTAAAACATTAAGAAATAGACCTAAAATAAGCGAATAATCACTGAAGTGTTCTTGAATTTATACAAATTTCAACCTGAGCAGAATTATTCATCTACTCAATTTGGACTAGATTGTATTCTTCTTTGTCCAAAACAGCAAATAATGAAAGAAAACCATTTTTGACAGGTCTTATTAATTTGCAAAATCAGTTTTCCTTGAATTTTTGCAAGATTCAAATTGAACGAATCATTTCTAATACATCAAATATGGCAAAAGATTCTTTTGATTTACTCTGTATTGTTAGAAAACTACTTTTTCTTGAATTTATACAAATTTCAACCTGAGCAGAATTACCCATCTACTCAATTTGGACTACATCGTATTCTTCTTTGTCGAAAACAACAAATGAAACCTCTGTCTACCAAATTTGAAAGGAATCGGTTGAAATACACGTGTAATATTGAATAAAAATCAATTTAAAAATTTAATTTGAACACCCTGTATCTCCAAAACAAAGGGTTTGTCCACCTATGTTTATATGAAGCTTTTGTGTTCGTTTTAAAAGATTCATCGACTGTTAAAGTCCTGCTACAAGAATCTGAAACACCCTGTATATTATGAATTAGTTATACCAACCTAAGTTAATCAAAAAGCGAATGTTTTTGACATAAAAATTGATGATATCTCAAGAATAAAAAGAGATAGGAGAATGTGAGTCTTCTGACAACAGAATTTGATCTTCTGACAGCAAAATTAAGTCTTCTGCTAACAGTATATCGTTTTTTAGTAGTGGCAAGAATGTTTTCTTTTTCTTATTTGCTGTTTTCGACTTCAAATGAAAACTGGTTTTGCTAAAAAATAGGAATTTCATTAGATTTTCAATAATAGCATATTATTTGTGCCTCGGTTTTTAAATAATATGTTATTATTAGTTTTGATTGTTGTTAAAACTAGAAACATTTAAAAGTTTAAGGATTTTTAAAGAAAAAACTTTTAACTTTAACTGACATTAAGCTGTCATTAAATTATTTTTAGGTCAATTCACCTAATTTACAAAATCTCTAAAATCTTAATATACCAACACCGTTAACGTCAAATTTGAAATTATGTCACATAAAAATTAGTTCAATTTGATACCAACCTAAATCGTTTCTATTAACGTCAAATTTGACATTTCGATTTTAATTGAATTAAAATCGTTGTTTTGGATAATTAAACCGTATTAATTAAGAAAGTTGTATTTTTTAAGGTGTCACAAATCAGTAGCAGCAACAGTTTGCGGAATTTGTTTAAAAGCAAACGATTCCTACACAACGCTACAACACCACCTCCGCGAAAACCACCCAACATTACTTCACGGTCAAGGTTTCGGCTCAAACTTTATTTGCCGAATTTGCGGCCGATACCACAACGCCAGTTCAAAATTAAAACTACACATGGCAATTCACGAAAATTTCGATTGGAAAATACTCGAACAATTCGAAAATAAAGACGAAAACGACGAAGAAGAAGAAGAAAACAAAATCGAAAAAGAATTATCCGAAGAAGAAGAGGAGGAAGAAGAAAAATCCGAAATTAATTACGAAAATTTAATCGAAGAAGTCGAATGTAGCTCGGAATCGGAAGACGAAGATTCCGATTCATCAAGCGATGACTCCGACGATGAAGACGACGAAATAGACGATAATGACGAAATTGACGAAGAAATCTCCGAAGAGAATTCGTTAGAATCTCAAATGCTACAAAATATGTTGCAGGAAAAAGGAATGTTGGAGGTTAACGTTTATAATAAAGAAAAAAACGATAAAGATGTTAAAATCGAGGTTTCATCCGAAAGCGATAGTTCAAATTCGAGTTATAAAGTTGAAAATGTAATAAAATCGGATGTCTCATCGTTGAACGGTGAAGATTATCAAGATATTAAGATGAACTATCGATTGTTATCGGACGATGATGAAATCGATGATTCTCGAACTGAAATTAAAACGGAACAAGAATTAAACTCGGCGATTCAATCGATTTGTTACGACGATGACGACGAAGATGACGAGGAGGAACACGAAGTCGTTATCGATCATGATTATTCAGAACTTCCGATGCATTCACTTAATAATCATGAAATTCAAACTGCCGTTGATAGTATTCTATAAATTTGAACAAATTTTTTTTGTTATAACTGTGATTATTATTTTTTTTTAATTACCGAAGCTTATATCCATGTATAATCGACTGATTTACTCTTCTTATTGATTTAAACCGTAAAAATAAGACTGTTTATTTTCAGAGACCACTAAAATAATTTAATTATTATAAATAGTAATTAGGATTAAGTGAAAAAACGGTCGCTCTCTCTCTGTATTTATTCTTTCTATTTTTGCTTAAAATTTTATTAATTAAATCCCCCTATCTATAATTATTAATTACTTATTACCGAATATTAATTAATCGTAACTTTTAATAGAAATCATTCCCCAAATCCATGTTAAAAGACGCAAAATGATTTAAAATAATCGTAATGTATATATACATAGATGATACTCAATAAATAAAATTATTTTCTAAAAAAATACATTTTTTTTTTAATAACATTCGTTATGCAATTCCCGTCAATATGCAACATTGAATATAATAATATATGGGTAAAATCTCCTTGAGTTCACCTTGAATGACCTCTATTTGACATTGACGAAGGTAAAAGTAAAAATTTTTATCAAAACTTTAAGGATGTCTCCTTGAGTTCACCTTGAACGACCTCTATTTGACCTTGACGAAGGTAAAAGTGAAAATTTTTCTCATCAAAACTTTAAGGATGTCTCCTTGAGTTCACCTTGAACGACCTCTATTTGACCTTGACGAAGGTAAAAGTGAAAATTTTTCTCGAAACTTAAAGGATGTCTCCTTGAGTTCACCTTGAATGACCTCTAAATGACATTGAGGAAGGTAAAAGTGAAAATTGAAAACGAAACTTTGAGGATGTCTCCTTGAGTTCACCTTGAATGACCTCTAAATGACATTGATGAAGGTAAAAGTGAGAAAATGAAATTTTCTATATCGTATTTATTGCCTTTTTATCGGCAATATATTTTTAATTAATAATGATTTGAGTTAATTAATGTAAAATTAATTGTTTGTTAGGTGGGAAGAAATAAAAATTGGTTTTTTTTCAACAATATTATTTATTAATACAATTGTACAGATTTCTATTTTACCAACATATTTTACAGTTTCCTGTAAAAGGCATTTATCAAAATACTGGCTTATAGATATTACTAATATTTGTTAAAAAACAAAATTTAATAATTTAAATGTAATAAAAGTAATGTAAAGAACATGGATGGCAAAATGAAATATGATTGGATACACTCCCTTTCTTAAATAAGTCAAATTCAACTTTACTTAACTTGTTAATTGTTTAAAATAATTTCTTTGTGTAAAAATGAGATTAATAATTGTTTTAATCACTCTTGACCAGTGTTAAAATCGTTACAATCTGTAATGTCACTTTCTCCAGCAATCATTTAGTAAGGTAACCTAAAATAAATTAAAAAAATATTTAGTTCTTTTGTAGACAACGAAATCACCAAATACCTCAATTAATTCATCAATTCCAGTTAAAGAAATCATAACCGATGATATTTTATGTATAAAAAGTTTTTCTCCATCGCTTTTAGTTTATGAGTTATGATTGAGTTAATTTTCGAAAATCAACAATTTTGATGTTTAATCGATTTAGAGCTTATTAATACAAAATGGTAATAATTGGGTTCAATCCTCAAACTGATCTAGTCTTTATGG